AAAGTACTCTTCAGAGACTGCCTGATATGAAAAGCAATGAGACAAGTCATAACACAAAGGAGAGCAGTGTTTAGGAAAAGAAAAATCAATTAAAACAATGTTCTTTCTAAGCATTTGCCTAGTCTTTTAAAAGATTAAACCTTTCTTTGTTTCGAATTCATACTTGTGTCTGCATGTGATTAATAGAGCTGAAGAAAGCAGAAGACATTCACAAAGTCCTGTAATCTTGCATCAAATACCAAAGCCTATTGCTTTAAGACAGAATCACAGAATCACAGAATTTCTAGGTTGGAAGAGACCTCAAGATCATCGAGTCCAACCTCTAACCTAACACTAACAGTCCCCACTAAACCATATCCCTAAGCTCTACATCTAAACGTCTTTTGAAGACTTCCAGGGATGGTGACTCCACCACCTCCCTGGGCAGCCCGTTCCAGTGCCTAACAACCCTTTCAGTAAAGAAATTCTTCCTAACATCCAACCTAAAACTCCCCTGGCGTAACTTTAGCCCATTCCCCCTCGTCCTGTCACCAGGCACATGGGAGAACAGGCCAACCCCCACCTCGCTACAGCCTCCCTTAATGTACAGAATGTTACATTAACATAACAGCAGGGCTTGTTACAGAATGTCAGCTCTGATAGTCTGAGGCATCTAAGTATCTATAATATTTATATATTCTTTGTGATAAATTAGTAAGGGGTTTGTTCATTGTTCTTGAGAATTTAAAGAATCTACTGGGGAGAAAAGGTTTCACAACTCACTGCATTGTGACATGGGGACAAATGGGGAAGGGGGGTTGGGTAAACATCCTTGTTAAAACAAAGATTCTGTAAGATACCACCCACCCACCGCAAGACATCCTGTTTTGCCCCCACCTGAACACAAGCACAACGTGTGATCACCAGAGGAAGAATAACAACCCCAAACAACAGACTGCACAGCCTCAGAACAAGTCTCGACAAGTCGACAAGTCAACAGGTCTCGACAAGTCGACAAGTCTCGACAAGCTGGAACTTGAATGCTATAAAACAGCGACACTGGAAAGGGAAGTTGCGTGCCGTGGCGGAGCGGAGACTCCCCAGCCGCCCAGCGCTGTTTTGCTTGTGTCTGCTTACTTGATTAATAAAATAATTTCAATTGACCAGTAAATTGTGTGGTCTAACTTACAACATTCTTATAGCTATCCTCTTTTGGTGTTCTACTTGGTGCTTGGTAGGTAAGCCCCTGATACTCTTTTCTCAGGCTAGCTAAAAGTAAAGTTTTAAAATACAAATTTGTTTTCCTCTCAGAAAAAAAAAAAAAGTTAATGGAGAATATTTTCAAATGGAAAATTTAAATCATTTCCCTTGATAGGTGCTAAATACAACTTTTACTAGGTGTTCCCATCTTCTCTGAAAATCCATTCAATCAGCCTTTCATTCTAGGACAGGGTTCTGCATAAGAACATCTCGGTTCTGCATAAGAACATCTCAGATCTTAAAAAGGCTGACTACAAATCACTTGTGGCCAAGCTTCTTGCCACTGTGGGTTTTAAACACACCAAACATACTACCTCACTCTCCAGAGTACCATCAGGCAACAACAGAGTTGTGAGTCACCGTACCTGGTGACATTTAGATTTAGAGCTTAGTGATATGGTTTAGTGGAGGACTTGTTAGTGTTAGGTTAGAGGTTGGACTAGATGATCTTGGAGGTCTCTTCCAACCTAGATTATTCTGTGATTCTGTGTGTTATTGGATCATTTTCTCACTTTTTGAGAGCACTGAAGCCCAACTGTTTCTGAAGAGGGCTCAGCCTCTTACGGATCTTAAGATCTGTAGCAAAGTCAGCCTGAGGTGTCTTTATCCTGAATCACTTGCACACCCAGATTTCCAGTGGGTTCCCCAAAGCCTCAAGGTGTTTCAAATTCCACCATGGATCTTCAGCCATGGAGTGGCAGGGGGACGCACTCCTGGGAGCCAGGCTTGGCAGATATGGACTCCTCCATCTTTCTGCACCTGTGCCACGGGGTAAAGCTTAACCTCCTCCCTATAAAATATTTTCCAATATTGTGCTGCTTTCAAAAGGGCTTTATTTGGGATTAGGGGTTTAGAAGGACGAAAGAATGTTACCAGCATCTCTAAAGGATAATTCATCTTTTATAACCTCAAAAAAGATCAGGAAATGTTTATCCTTCTTTCTTTTTATGAGGGGGAAGGATGGCAGCAGGATTACTGTTGCTGCTATTATTATATTCCACCATTCATCCCAGAGGAGAACAAAGGCAATTCCGTTCATTGTTTTCCTTCCTAATTTTGTCTTTTCCCTTAAAGCAAAGTGCAAACTAACGTATTCAAAGGCTGAATATAATGAGATTCTATTCTCTGCTACCTGCAGGACATAAGCATCACTTCTTGGAAACAGTCTTTCACTGACCAAGGTTTTGTTGCTATGGCGACTTCTGTTACCATTTGCTTTGGTGTTTACAGTCTGACAATGTGTCAAAAGCTTTAAATAACTAAAAAATCCTTTCTCTCACATTCCTAAAGGATGGTGGTTCCGCTCTTCTACCCCCTGCCTCTGTTTTGTGGGCAGCTTTTACAGGGGGATGCAGCATTCTGTGTTCCATAATAAGCCTTTTAGGGCAGAAAAAGTAACTCAAGATGGGCAAAACCTGATCATCTTCACCTGTGCTGCAGTCATTTAGCTCAGGTAGTTGCTGCTGGGCATCCAAGACCCCTCCAGGCTGCAAGAGCACCGTGTGTGCCACTACACACCAAGACATCTGATCTACCACAGAAAGGAGGCATTTTTACATCTTAAAATAAAAGGAAAAGAAGAACATGAAAAGATCTTCATTAGGGAGAGGATATTTGAATAGTCTGGACATGGGCTCTGTGATTCCAGGTGTTTTCTGAATATATGTTTGTGTATATCCACACAGAGACTTGGAATTTGTTTCCGCAGGTCAGCTGATGCCAGCTTGGCAGCGCGGGTCCAGAGAAGGGCGACGAAGCTGGTGAAGGGCCTGGAGAACAAGTCCTACGAGGAGCGGCTGAGGGAGCTGGGCTTGTTCAGCCTGGAGAAGAGGAGGCTTAGGGGCGACCTTATCGCTCTCTACAGATACCTTAAAGGAGGCTGTAGTGAGGTGGGGGTTGGCCTGTTCTCCCACGTGACTGGTGACAGAACGAGGGGGAATGGGCTTAAGTTGTGCCAGGGGAGTTTTAGGTTAGATGTTATGAAGAACTTCTTTACTGAAAGGATTGTTAGACACTGGAACGGGCTGCCCAGGGAGGTGGTGGAGTCACCATCCCTGGAAGTCTTTAAAAGACATTTAGATGTAGAGCTTAGGGATATGGTTTAGTGGGGACTGTTAGCGTTAGGTCAGAGGTTGGACTCGATGATCTTGAGGTCTCTTCCAACCTAGAAATTCTGTGATTCTGTGTGATTCTGTGGTGTGACAGGTCAAGGCCATCCTTTAGCTTTGTTTGGCCTATAGCAAATGCTGCGACAACTCTCTGTATAAGGAGTTTGATAAGGACAGTGGGATTTTTCCCTGTAAAGCAGCCATACTAATGTAATGCACAGCCTAGAAGCAGTTATATCGGTATACTACAAACAGCTATCAGAAAAGCTGTTTTTTCTTTTTCATCTACATAAATTAGGGTAGATAAATATATATGTACACTGAGACGTAGGAAGAGCAGTAGATATGTTTTATGGCAGAAAATAACGGGGAACAAGCACATACTGTAAGAAACACTCTGTAGCCAATAATTTAGGATTTCAGTGAAGTAGTAATTTATTTGCGATTGCAGTGGCGGGTGCCCCACAAGCAGAAGAGCACACCTGCTTCCAAAACACAGTTTATATACTTTTTGATGACAGGACCCTCCCCTGCTTCCCCACTGAGTGGATAATCCAGGCTCACAATCTATCTGATGCTTCACAGACAATGCATGGCCTTCAGTTGCTGGCCTGTTAAATTTCAAATTGATTTTTTTACTACTTGAAGTGGTAATGTTTCTTCACTTACCTGACTTGAATTAACACTGTGATTTTCACCTAATTGTTCTAAGGAGTCTGGTTGTCTGCATTTTACAAGGTTTCCTGCTAAGCTTTCTTATCACTGTAAGCATATCTCAATACCACATTCCTTTCCTCTAAACAATGTAACTGCAAAAACAACATTTATATTCCCACAATACCACCAAGCTTGCAGGATATTTTCCATGTCTTCTTGCATGTGCCGCACACCAGACAATGCTAACAGCTTCCCCCCAGACCCAGCTTCAGACTGGTGCCCAGAGAGCCAGCCCTGGCAGTCCCAGCTCAGCTGCTGGAACCACTGTCTCCAGCTCCAGCAACCCCAGGGTGCTGCTGCCTCAAGTCGATGACAGCTCTCGAGTCACTTCTGCACTCTCACCATAGTCCTCGCTGGTCCCTGACATCCTGACCCTGTCCCCATCTCTGTTCCTGTCTCCACCCTCATTCCCATCCCTGTTCCCAGGGAGGTGCGGGATGGCCAGGGCTCGGGCTGCCCCTGCTGCCCTGCTGCTGGATGTGGGGAACCCCTGGCCCTGCTGTGCCCTAGTGCTGTGTACCAGATAAAGTCACAGCAGCAGTAGCACATGGGTTTGGGAGAAGGAAGCTGTCAGACCTATTTTGGTGGTGCCTCTGAAGAGATTTAAGAGAGGAAAGCAATTGGGGTCGCTGGTTGTAATAAGCAGCAATGTGTGATTGCAGAACCAAGGGCTGGGGCAGAAGGGCAGGCAGGATTTGCACTACTCCCCATGTTAGGCTGCAGGGAATCCCCACAGCTCTCAAAGGTCACTGTTCTAGGTGTTTACCCCGCCCCCCCCCCCCCCCAAATCACTTCTGATGGCTCAGTGTGAAATTTAGTGCTGTGCAAAGCTTATTCCCCCTCTAAACTCCTGTAGCTACTCTGCCAATTACCCTAAAAGCAGCTCTTCAGAAAAGTATACCCTTTTCTCTCTCTCTTTTTTCCTTCCCTTCAACCTTTTTTTTTTTTTTTCTGGTGACCTCTCAAAAATCTGTAGCCACTTTAGAGACAGGGTGAGAGAAAAAAAAATCCAAGCTATCATGGACAAGATTCAGACTGTCTCCAGACATTTTGCTGAACTCATCAGAGTCACTGCTAGGTCACCTCCACTTTACGTACTACCTATGGATGGGGCTCATGCCCTGGATATACAGATAGGTAAAAGTGCCAGGTCAAAACAAGTGCTCTCACAAGCCAACCTCAATTCTTGGGCATAAAACCCAGCACACCTCATAGAGGCTGGTGATTTTTCCGCTTCTTTAAAGACACTGATCATGTTACTGGGAAGTTATTTATGTGCTGAAGGGAATTTTTAGGATGATCCAACTAAGTAACTCTAAGAAGAGGGGATCATCTCAACTACTCTTACTGAAGACAGGAAAATCACCATGCAGTGCCTGTTCTTACAGATTTTACTAGAGAAAGTCCAACCTGATCCTTGTACTTTTTACAATGAAAGAAAACCCATTTTCATCCTAGAAAATCTGATGGAAATTTAGATGTTTTCATAGATTAAATCTACAAAGGATTTGAGAACAAATTATTCTCTGAGGGGAGAGAGGTTAATGGAGAGTTCAGACTCCATGGCACCTAGTATTAGAATATGTATTAATAATTGGTGGAGAAAATGGGAAGCAAGTTGGCAAACTGCACAGAAAAGTAAGGCTGTTTTATTTGATAGGCCACAGTGGCAAGTCAAAAAAAAAATCATAGTGATTTAATATTGTTGAGGAATATGATGGAAATTGATGAATTCCACCCTTTGATCTAACAAATCCCATTGAGCTCTGAGGTTTTGCTCTTTTGGAAATTACTCCTGTCTTATTGCAGTACTGAAGCGCTCAAAAGACATGGCCAAACATCTTCCAAGTTTAATAATGTTATATATTATTACCTCCTGCTGCTGCTCCCCACTGCCCACTGACCTGGCAGTCAGGTTTGCCCCAATCATCTTCATAGACTACCTTAGCTCCCTCAGTGAATTCATTAGAAATCAATGTCTGGACACTTCTGGTAGCTATACTGTTTGTGTAGGGGCAGTAATTTCTGCCAGGTGAGTGGCAGCAAGAAGCTGAGGGGAAATAACATATTTTTTTTTGACAGAACAGCTATATGTGAAGAGGGTGAGCTATTCACACGCTAGCTAGCAAATGCCGCTTCAATGGGCTGTGGCAGGGAGGTGACTGTGGGGATCTCCGTCTAAGACCCATGAATAGTGCTGGGCTGGCAGAAGCAGGGAGCTACTCCTCTGGTCACACATAGCTGCTGCTCTTGCTTTCATCACTGCATCGAGGCTGTCAGCTCTTCTGAACTAGTAGAGTTTTTAACACATTTTATGCTGGGTGAAACAAATACAGATGAGGAGAAGTCCAATCATTTGTCAGATATTAGTAAACGCCAAAGACCTGTACACTAATATAGGTCCCAAATACTTATCTGAAAGATTGGAGGCATAAGTGGGGTATTGAGTGTTGGTTACAACTCCTAATTTACATGGATTCTCATAACAGATGAAGCAGATCTAATTCAGAACAAAACCAAATTATAAGCAAAGTCAAAACAACATCTTCCAGAAGCTATGCTTCTCAGCCAGCCTTACCAAGATATAAAAATACCGAACTGGTACTCTAAGATACTTAAACATCTTTCCTGAAACACTGGACTGCTTTAGTTCATGCCAAAGCAGTCTGATGTCACTGAAATGCTAGCAGTCACTGAAATGGAGTTTGGAGTACTGTATATTTATTTTTTATGATGAATCTTCATTTAAAGCTGCTAAAAAACTATTTATTTATTTATTCTATTTATTTAAGGTTTGTCAGGGGAATACTCCTAAAAGTCAAAATTTATGAGGTTTCAGGTTGAGTATTAGAGCTCTAAAGAGTAATCCGAGGTATTTTGTGGATAATTTGTTATAAGTGATTATGCAACTGAGCTCCGATGTTGAAACGAAGATTAAATGCTTGCAGGATTTCAGCTAAGTACCTGGCTCCTAAAGTTAATATTCTACAAGACTACACAGACAGTAAGGAGGGCAATAATGTGCCTTCTGATGAAAGCACTGTATTTAAACTATATACCATCAAAAGAAGCTGTATTCTCTTTGCCATTGTGACTTTCAAATTATGATCCACAGATCAATCTGAAAATCCACAGAGATTTATAAGGGAGTTGCAAAGGGTAAGTAAGAAATCAGTTTAATCCTAGTGGTAAATCTGTCCTGCTGAGTCTGCTACTGCATTTTTTACAATTTGATTGGTCAAAAAAGACTGAAAAATACTGGTTCAGCAAAATTAAACAAATAAAAAGATAGAAAACTTGAAAAAAATCAGTTACACACATAACCTCTTCTCCCCAAAAATGTATTTACATGAAGCATTCAATTATCCCTGAATTCTGTCAAAAATGTTTTCTAGGAACAGGCTCAGTAAATAAAATAGCGGCTATAGTAATTAGTTGACCTTCATTTACCATCTTACAGCAACTGCCAACAGAGAAGTGTTATTAACATTGAAGCAAAAGGCCATCCTGACAAATCAGGAGACAGTTTTCAGATAAATTACTTCAGTATGTCTGCACTTCAAGCTGCTACAGCTCTATTCTTTCCTCCTGGGCTGTTCTTCCCCAAAAGATTTCAGTGAGACATCAAAAACAAAAAGCAGGGGGAACATGTCTGATGAAATAAACTCTCTGAGTTTCAAATGGAAATCATTGAACTACATGCTATGGCAAACAGAAATTTCTAGACGCATTAAAGCATGGGGCAGAAACAACATCATTTTTAAGCCTCTAATTAATACTAACTAACTGATTCCTTTTATTTTTTCAAATCGAAAGCTGCTTACATTCATCCCATCGTGAAGGAATACTAGGAAAAACTTCACGTGCTTTATGAGGAATGAGCTATATCACTAAAAAAGTAGCCAAAGTGGCTTTGAAAAATCGGAAACAGAAGGACAGAAGAAAAGTTACCTGGCCCATGCAGCAAACCAGTTTCTCTGGCTTAGTCCCTCATGGTCTCATCTAATAACACCATTAAAATCTGCAGTATTATAATTGGTTATGCTTTCTGAGGCATGTAGTGCTTTTTGACAAGTCTCTTTGTGCTGTGCCTCATTTCACATCACTCCAACACTTCCTACTGGTTCCTTCTTTCCCCTTCTTTATTCCTTCCCTTGCACTCCAGCATATTCCTGAACAAGCTCACTGCCTGGGGCTGCATGATATTTGTTGGCAACAGCAGACCCGCTTGGGAAGTCACCACCTCCCACTGTCCTGCAGAGGTTGTCTCACCCAGTACCCCACCAGTCTGATAGTTTGTGTGGCTGTGCTTTTAACAGGATTTACGTATTGACCCAGCTTAAAACCTTTCCTCTCCACCATGTATAACAAGTGTGTTCCTTTTCAAAAATGCATTTGAGGATGAGGCAAAGCAAACACTGGTGATATTAATAGTGGTGATAGCTTTTAACAAAAGAGTATGAGTGTGTAGCTTGTGAGATGATGGTGTGTGTCCAGCAACAGGATAGAAATGTGGAAACATAGCTCAAGACGTACTCTCAATTCCTGCTTGACAAGCTAAGCCTAAGAGAGACAGGCAAGATGGAGGAACAAACAAGATTTTACCAGTTGGGTTGGGGCAGTGGACAGGGAAGGGAAAGAACATCAAACAACAGCCTACTGCAAAGCAGTGACTTTGGAGCTGGGAGGTACATGGGGAGGAAGGATGGCAAATGGCTGGTGGCATAAATAGGAGTCGTCAAGCACAATGTTTACATTTGTACCATTGCTATCTCCAGTGTTATGAAACTTTAAATTACCAGGATTTTTTTTTATTTTTTCATTTTTTATTCTTAAAGGAGGCATGTAGACATCTGCTTCATCAAGATCTTGATGTCTGTTTTTTACTGGAGTGCCTCACCCCTGTTCACACTAATTCAGGCCCAGAGTTATGTCCTTCTTTCAGTGTGGTACACTAACTACCTCTGCATCTCCTGAAAAGTCTTTGTTAGCTGCCCAAATTATCCTGATCATCAGTCTCCTTGTTTTTCCTCATTTCATAATTGATTGAGTTCACCCATATGACAAAAATAAACATTTTAAATAGTTGCAGCAAATGAAAGGGAAATTCAGTGAAAATGTCTCACAAAGTAACTAGGTAGAAGAAGAAATACAAACCAACAGATGCCTTTTTGGTCAAATGCATTAAATGATGGAAAGAAATGGAGAAATAGGAAAAAAAATCAAAACTTTAAGTTTTAGTGTTTCAGAAATGAAAACAAAACCTCCATTCAATGAGATGAAGATGCCTGCTCTGCTCTGAGAAGAAAGTATTTAGAAGAAAAAAAGTATTTCATGGAGCCACTTCTTTTTCACGTAAACTGAAGTTTACTAGTGCTTTTATTTGAATGGTTGTGATGTTCACTTCAAGTGCCAAAATCCCAGTATTAAAAGTGGAACAAGTTGCAGGCAAGTAAGGTGGCAACCTTGGCACCTTAGAGAAACTAAGCAACCAAGGCAGGAATAGGACCAATGTCCTACTGACAGGTGAAATGTTCCCATCTGACAGAGCAGCTTTGTCCAGTTACCCTGCCTTCACTGTCTTTCTACTTCACACAAAAACAAGTGAAAAAGACTCCATCTCCAGTGTTGCCTATCTTAGTATGTGCTTATGCTCTGCTTAGCAGGTGGGCTGAAGGGGTTACTGTCTTCAGATACAAGGGAGTGATATGAAGGAGATGTGAATTAGCACAGTCTTTCCCTGTGAAACGATGAAAAGCACAAAGTGACATATTGACAGTAGTAATGCAACAGATGCTTAACACAAATTGCATGAACTGAACATCCAGAAGAAATAGTCTGCACATCAAACAGATAGTACATATTCAATATGAAAAATATATAAGTAAGTAGAACAAGGAAATATTTTTCCAGAATGAATAAAATAATATTTGCAAATATCCACGTTCTGCAAAGGATAACTTTCTTCTGGAAGACAGATTTTAGAATTTAAGAAGCACTAAGCACACTAAGCACACTAAGTTTACAATCAGATTGTCATAGAAAAACTATTCTAGAAGAAAATACAATTATCACAAAGACACACATAAAAAAATTTGTTTGATCTAAAATGTCACTGAATGCTTCACTAATTTTCTTCTTGAGCATTTTCAGCATCTTTAAGTATCTCAACAGTCAGGTTGTTTTCTAGGGGCATGTTGCCTTAATACATTATGTTTTGGAATTAAATAAAAAGCATTTGACACTTATGTGTCAAATACCAGGAACATTAAAATCTTGCCATGTAGTTTAAAATTATGTGTTTCAGTGCCAGCTAAAGACATTCCAAATTTATAAACAGGATCTGAGAACATAGAAATGAAAACCGTAATTAAGATTTGTCACTGGCAGACAGAGAGGAGACTCCAGTGTACATGTATTTCCCAGGCCCACGTAGATGAGGAGGATCCCAGAATCACAGAAAGTTTGGGGTTGGAAGGCATTTCTGGAGATCATCTTTCTCCAACCCCTCCTTGCTTGAAGCCAGATCAGCTGGAGCATGTTGCTCAGGACCATGTCCAGTTAGGTTCTGAGTACACACGGTGGGAGACTTCACAACCTCTCCGGTTGACCTGTGTCAGGGCTCGGTCATCCTCACATTGAAAGCTTTTTTTCTTATGTTTGGATGGACTCTCCTGTGTTTCACTTTTCACCCATTACCTCTTGTCCTGTTGGTCATGATCTTCCTAAAGTAGCTGAGGAGTTGGTTGGCTTTTTTTTGTTCCTGGTAAACTTGTCCACCAGAGAGGAGCTGCTTTCCAGCTGGTCAGCTCCTAGTGTGCACTAGTGCATGGAATTACTTCTCCCCGAGCGCAGGACTTTGCATTTCCCTTTGTTGAATTTCTTGTGAGTCCTGTCATCCCACTTCTTCAGCCTGCTGTACAGCAGCACAACTGTCTGGTGTGTCAACAATTCTTCTGAGTTTTGTATCATCCGCTAATTTACTGTGGGTGCAGTCTGTCCTATTGTCCAGCTAATTAACAAAAACATTAAAAAGAACCAGCCAAATTATCAAGCCGTGGGGCACACCACAATCAACTTGCCTGCAACTGGACTCTGCCACTGACCATAATCCTATCAGCCTGGCATTTCAGCAAGTTTTCAGTCCACCTCACTGTTCTTTTATCTAGTTTCTGTTTCATCAGTTTGTCTATGAGAATTTTACAGAAGAGACAGTTGAAAGCATTGAAGTCAAGATAAACTACATTCACTGCTGTTCACCCATCCAACACACCAGTCACCAGGTGTCATCAGGTTGTCCAGGCATCATTCCTCCTTCATAAACCGATGATGATTACTCCCAGTCCCTTTTTTTTTGTCCTTCACATTTCTTGAAATGTATTCCAAGGCTATTTGCTATATCACCTTTCCAGTGATTGAGATGAGGTTGTCCTTACCTTGCCCTTCTATCTAAAGTGAATATCATTAAACTTGGAACTAGAAAGCACTTATTCAAGTAGAGATCTTGCATTTTATGACCTTAGTAGCTGTAAGAAAGAATAAGGGCATTTCCACAGAACGCTTTGCCCATATTTACTAACCTATATCTCTCATTACCCAGATCTTTCTATTTTCAAATACTTTCCCTCTCTCTGCAAAACAGTGCCTGTTCCTCAGCAGCAGCACACACCAGCAACTGAGGGTCTCCCTGCACCTCGTTCTCTTAATTCTTTCAAAATGCATTTTCTTCATCTCAGCTCAAACTTCCCTACCACCTTCTACTATCATACTCCTCTACTCTTTTCCTCTCTTACTCCTTCCCAGTCCAAGACTATATCCAAAAGGTCTTCAGCATCATTTCTACCATCCATTCTAGCAATAGAATCAATTAGATTAAGTGGCGTATTTCTGAACAAAGTAGTCTGACATATTTGGGAATAAGCATAAAATACCAGGATGAGATTCACTCTCAGAAATGGCTTTAGGAATTTATTCATGCACGGGGTATGTCCTATGTCCCACTGAGACTTGCATGCCAAACCAGGCCATCAGAATGGCCTGCTGCTGGATCCTAATCTTCTCTATAACACAATAGGACATTATTACCTGAAAGTAGGAGGACAGTACCGTGTAAGACATGGAAACGATTCCAATACAACATTCAGGCATTTGCTCTCAGACTTCATATTTCTCCATAATCCTTCCAGCCACAATGAATTTCTCTTCTGCTACTGCCAAATTATATACAGCTCTGTGTCAGTTTTCTGGAAAACTGTTCACCGCGACCACCTGGTTTTTGACCAACCAATTTGCTATGTTCTGCCACTGCCTCAGTCTCATTTTGTTGTCTTAGTTCTCTGAAAATAAGCCCCCAGGCTTGTTTTCACTAATTATTAGTGTATTTATGAGAGTACTGACCTGAGGATCCTTAATGAAGACACTTTATTAGTAAGTACAGCAAGTAATATATACATTAACTAATGAATACTTTTAATGTCTTCCAAGGACTAGGTATCACATTTTCTTTATTCTAGGATTTATGATTTTCAGAAAACTAATGTTACTATCTCAGACTAACCATGCCTTAACTTCCAAAGTATAATCACTAAGCAGATGGCATGAAGCCCTTATGAAGACATCCTAATCTGAATCAAAGTTGTTAACTCATGCACACATAACAATAATTTTTTTGTGTTTGGCTGTCCTGAAAAATCCATCTTTCTCCTCAAAGCATTTGCAGCCACAGGCCAACCATACACATTTCAACAAAGGGAATGCTACTTCTGAAAGTACTACTGGAGAAACCTGGGTTTTAGGAGTCTGACAAACATATTTGTTCTTTGTTTAAAATTTTAGTTTTAAAATTTGCTTTTTTAGTTTAAGGCATGTATGAGAGTTTGGTCTTAAAACATTTTTTAATTTCTTCATCCTGTAAAAACAAAGGTAAGCCACTCTTTTTGTATTCAGCTGGGAGACAGATTAAGACTTTCTTTCTTAAATGGCATGAAGACATAGATCAACTTTAAATTTTGCACTGACATTTGACTCTTTCAGACCATCTTTAACAGATGAGTGTCTGAGGTGAAATCCAAGAAACTCATGTATAAATGTGCAGCCACTAGTACACTTGTCTCACAGGCACTCATCTGACAGGGGCTTTTTTGGGCACACAATTACTTCACCTTGTATTGCAGTAGAACTGAATGTTAAAACGTATTTCTATTTCCCTATACAATTTATAGCAAACAATACTATGAGTCTTGGAAATTAATCTACAGTTTCAGTGGAAAGAGATTGTGAATAACCTCATTTTAGTTTTATAATAGGATGAGTGATGCATCAGTGACACTTCTATCCAAACCTGAAGAGTTGAAGTACTGCAGATTTTACTGTGGACTTACTTTAGAATAGATAACCAGCCTGTGCCCAATGTTCTTTGCTATTCTACAGAAACTTACAGCATCTTTTCTCACTAATCCCTTGTAATGACATAGATGCACCATATTACTTTGCCTGCAACAAAATCACAGGGTTGGAGGGAATGTGTTTTTTTTTTGAAGCAGGTAGGCCAAAATCTGAATGATTAAAAAGTTTGGAGGCTCATTTGGAGGCTTTTTAATATACTTTTATATTCTATATTTTATCTAGTATATACTGATAATTTTATGGAATTATACATATATATGAAACATAGTAATATGCATTATATCTACAGGGTGCACAATACACCCTGAGTAAAGTAAAATTCATATACTAAATTAAGAAGTAAAACTACCAGAGAACAGATAATGAAGATAATCTCAATAATACTTCATGACCCAATGAACAGTTTCACAGATTCTGTCAATCAGTTCAGAATTCAGTAAAACACTGCAGTCTCCATCAAGTTGTGGTACAAATCGTTGGACTTGAAATATTTTTCATAAGAGATATTCATCAGATTTCTTTATGCTTTCTACAGAATGCTATGAATAATAACTTCTGAGATAGCATTTTGACAGTGGTATATGTTAAATACTCCTATTAATAACAGTATTTAAAAACAAACAGATGGTAACAAAAGTCCATATATGACTCTCACATGCGTCATCTCACATAGATGACTCTCATTGATAAGCTCTCGCATTAATTTCAGTTTCAGCACTGCTGCTCCAGCCTCCCTTTTCCTCTTGCAGTTTCCCTGGTTAGGACACGGCTAGTTTCAATACTTAAACCCTATCAGTTACATGGGAAACAGCTTAATTTAAAACTTCTTCATCCTGCTGGTGTCAGAGTTAAAGACCTAAAGAATAGATTTTCTTTGCTTTTTTCTAAAACCCTTCTGAACTGTGTATGATGATTTCCCTCAAAATGTCTGCTTCGCACCTGTACTTTCTTCTGTTGGAGTCAAAGCACTTTAGAGTCTTTCAAGAGGCTACAAATCTTAACAATAACACAGCTTTCAATAACTCCAGTAAATTCTCTTTTTTCCTTGTCTTTTATTCAATTGCACAAAAGAACAGTAGGGGAAAAAAGGTAATTTAATTAGCTCAGAGTTATGCATATGGGAATTAAAGAGCAGTTGTACTCTGAAGTGTATCTCTGTGAAATGATACTTCACAGTGTCACATTACAGTACCTCAGTGATTTCAACCCTGAAAAGTGATCATAAGTCCTGTACCCTATTGCTTTCTTGATATTACTGGCAATGACCAGTAATAGAGACGGTCATTAAAACTTGTTAACTACTTTGCTGATGAGGCTCAATTCATATTGCTAGCTGTACAGGGTTTGCTGATGTGAGTGGAAATAAGCAGGAGACAAAATATTTGGTAGGACATAAAAACAGGCATGGTTTTGAGTACCAAAATTGTACCCCCAAATCAAAACCCACAAAAGCTGAACTCTTCAAGAAGTCCATTGGGAACCAACTTTCCCAGGTAAAAGCACTACCTGGCTCTGGTGGGTAAGTGAGCAGAAATTTCCCTTTCTTACTGCATGGACTTTGGTAAAATACTGAGGGTAAAATGCCAGCTCTATTCACTTTTCCCTTAAAACTAGAAAAGGGCCAAATGATCAACAACATTTACACTTGCTCTTCATACCCCTCTGTGCAGTGAAATACAGTGGAGTTAAGGGAATAGGTCCCTTTCTCCCTGCTTTTGCTTAGTTTTAGATATACGTATGACATGAAGCTAGCAGGGATAGCTGGTTTGAAATGAAAAAGCCTAGGTTTTTAGATGGTAGGAACTTCACTCCTTTCCCGACTTAACTTTTCTGTTTAGAAATCTCATTGTAAAATTCCTGAATACCAGCTGGATCCTTGTACATCTCATAAAATGGTCTCCTGTGGTGCAAGAAAACTTCCTTGTTTGGCTAGTAAACAAAAAATACTATCTTTATTCAAACAGATATTTAAATATTCACCTTCATCCATAATTTCAGTAGAGAGAGTTTATTATTAAGTTCATAATGACTTCTTCAGGGTCTAAAACCTTTCCAATGGAATTCTGTTGTTGATGAAAGGCACAGTGTCTCATCATACTGCTCAAATTGCTATAACATAACTGATACCACCGCTAGACTCTCTGAATCTCAGAAGGAAATTTAATGTAATATTTACAACAGTGGAAAAAAGAAGCAATAGTCAACTGTATAAACTTGATCCATGCTCATTGAAGGACTTTACAAGGTTCCAACAGCTTTGCTCTGCCCTAACAGAGACATGATTTCATTTCCAATCCTGCTAAACGAAAAACTTCTACAATTACTTTGGTCTTCAAAATGGGGTGAAAAATTGTTGCAACCACTCAAGACTGGAATCTTGTTCGATACAAAAACACTTTTAAAATTGACCTAGATGCTGATATCAATAAGAAAAAGTTGTATAGAAATCCTCATCTTTTAGTTTGCCTCTTTATACATGCATATCACTCATACCATAGGTCATTTTTTATCTTGCAGGAGAAGTTGATTCAGTACACTATGAAATCTATCTTGTCATAGCATGTGTGATCTGCTCTGGAGACAGCTTGCAAATTGTCAAGTTGAGTCAGAAAAAAATCTTTTTCTCAGCAAAGTACTAATCATAAAATAATAAAAACAGTGTTAAAAAAAAAAAAAGAGTCCCTAGTGTTGGAAATCCTGAGATTGTTGTGTTTCCCCAGAAACATTCCTGCTTTCTGAAGCATCCACCTTTCAGCCTTTCCTTTGAGCACATTTCCTGGAAGAGAGAAAATCTGAGCTAGACTTTTTCCTTTATGCCCCAGAGACTCCTGGCTTGTTCCAAGCATTTTGAAGTCAGAAGACTACGTGTGTCCCTGCACTATGTATATAAGAAGCATTCCCTTAAGGACAGAAATCAAGAGCCTGCAGCATTTACGCTACAACTGTTGCCCAAGTTGTTCAGCATAAATGTAAAGACAATCCACTGTGTGTTGAAAAACAGATGCCTTATGAATGCAAGTGCCAAGAAATAATTCAGGATGAACCACGGTTGTCTCCTATGTGTAACAGACTGAGCAAGCAGCATGAAAGAAGCAGAGAGAAATAAAAAGATACATCTTTTGAAGAGAAAAGATTCTCAGATTTTTACTCTGCCACTCAGGCAAAAATAAGAAGGAAAACAGTACTTCCTACGTTTTTAACATATATCCTGACCATAGGTAGTCTTACTGAGAAAGAAAGCATTTTCTGAGGACCAGAAGGTTACAAACAGATTCCTAGCAAGAATCTGAGTATATAAGAAAATATAAGAAACTGCTCTTTGCAGTTTAGGAGGTCTCTTTAATTGATTTTTTTTTGTTTGTTTGTTTGCAGGTCTGAAAATATTAACAATAAAACCTTGAGCTTGCTATCTGTTTTCTCATACTGAAATATAAAATCAGCTGTTGTAAAGATATTTTCTTATATCCTTTGAGCCTTGTTAGCATAATGTGTAGCTGCAATGCACAATAAACACTCAGCAAGCAACTTGGTTGTTTTCTTCCCTCTCTTTTTTGGAAGTAAGATAAATACCATGACAGAAGGTGAGCATATAGAAAAAGAGGATCAAATGCTCCTAAAAAGGCATTCACCATCCTCTATTTTCACATATTTTAAGCAACAAGGCAGCCATTTCAGCAACTTATTCATATTTTTTTGCTTTGTAGGTCTTCAGTGTTTTTTATCCAACCTTTCAACGGCTAGTACTGCTTTCCCCTTTCCTTGCAACTTACGTGGTTGATCCTTGTAGTTCCAACAGGCTTTTCTGTACATTAATCTGTTTGCACACAGCTCACTGCAAATGAGGTCAGAGGAAATAGCAGAACAGTGTCACTGTGAGTGCTGTCAGAAAGACTGTGCAAAGCCTAAAACATTTATTTCAAATATTCCATCTTAAGTTATTAACGGTGAAATCATGTTAAATAGCTAAGACATAAGTGAAGTAAATTAGCTGATTTTGTTTGATGAACTATTCATGTGTGTACATGTTATTAAGATAATAGCCTTAATTGCTTTTTATCATTTGTACAATTTTACTATTTGCACTAGCTGTGACAATGAAAGGAAAATGTTTAGGTTCAAATTCTGGCTATTAGCACATTAGCACAATGCTGAAATGTTTATATTGCAAGAACAGCAGAGAACTTGTGCCTAGTGAAAAGACCTTTAAGAGACTTATGAATACATTTCTATTAGAAAATCCAATTCAGATCCTAAACTGTGACAAAAACTTCCTTCCATCAGATTCAAAGCAAAGGAACAAGACAAGACTTATATAAACCATGTATTTTCTGTGTTCTATAAAAAGGAAACCCAAGTAAAAGCAAGAATCTTTTCTTACCCTAACATTAGGAAATGTTGTAAAACCAGACTTTGAATGCATCACTGCATAGAAAACAAGAAAATTGTCATATATTTTGTAGTAGTCTATTTCTACATCACAAAAATCACTGCAATGCTAATTCAGGTGTATTTTTGATGAAACTGACAATATGTCAGCAAACTTACTGCATAGATCCAGAACAAGAGGCAATAAACACTACGGCCCTTACTAGCAGCTTCACTTTACCTATGCCATATGCAGTTCTCATCACTCACATTCATATTTTCTCAGGGCACCAATAAAAACTTCACTCCACTTTAACTCATCAGAAATAGGACTCACGTATTTAAAAGCATTTCATACTGCTTAGTGGCAGAGATTCATATATAACAGTTTATTTCCACTGCCTTATGCTTTGGGAGTTACATTTATAAGAAATATTTGGTAAAATAATGAGCATTTCTCACTAAAAGGTAATTAAAATAGGATCAAAAGTTTGTTGTTTACATGCCTAAGCAGTTCTTGAAGGAAATAAGGTAGAAATTTAAATGAAACTTTGTTCAAAAGGATTCTGTGAGTTTGTTAAATACAACAAGGCTTAGAAAACAATTTTACCATTAGCAAGTCAAAGGCAGAGAGATGGCTTTTGAATCTCAGTATCTGTTCTTTCCAACAAGACACATCTGAATTTTGAAATGTCTTTAATACAGGGCTGTATTAAAGATGATGGTTGCTATACATCAGGCCAACATAATTTCATTACAGTTCACTCGTTCGTAAGTTCCAGATTTAATTTTACCATTCTTCATATAATCAAATCATTAACTAGAACTTCAGTCCTGATATGAGTTGTTATGATTGAAAGGTCATACTTATATTAAAAATACTGCATAAAGTATTGCAAAGTCCAAAAAAAAAACCACAGTTAATATTGCTATCAACTTCAGCTGGACTACTCCAGGAAAACAGTTGGGATTTGGCCTGTATCCCTGACAGTCAAAGCTGACAAACCATTAGTTCTTGATTGTCACTTTCTCAGTTCTCAAAGCTATGAATAAGACGACTGCAAAGTCATCCTCGCCATCCTACCTCTCCTTTACCCAGGATGTCTCAGTATTGTTATTTACTGTAAGACATTGTTATAAATGAAGTCTCAACTAATCTGAATTTAGTAATATTTATAAAAGGAATATTTATAAAAGTTATAAAAGGCAAGTAAACAGCGCCAGGTGTGCGGGGAGTCTACGTTCCACCAATACGCACACACGAACATCAAACTTTCTAAATATACAGAACATTGCTTTTACATACTAAACCCGAGTATGCGTGTACAATCAGAAAAGGTAACAAGCAATCCTTTAAGTTCCATGACTGTGAGATATGTTTATCTGATTCGTGTCAGTATGGAACAGTGCTAGGGCCGCATGGTATGATGAATGTGACCTTCTGTCTTACATACCCTTGTATAACCACAAGTCTAAGAAAAACAGAGTGGTTAATGTATATAGTTCTTGTATCTTGCAAAGGAATGTTTTAGCAATTCGTGTCAATAGAGAGCTTGAAGGGAAATGTATTTGTAGGTTTTTCCTTGAAGTCTCTGATATCTGGGGGGTTTCAGAATAACTGCTAACTATTATCACTATTGCATGGGACACTATGCAAGTCTCTGATATCTGCCCAGGAGATTAAGGAGACGGGGAGAGCTGAAGAACAACTAAAAGACAAAGTTTGCAGGGGATGTTGCACAAGTCTCTGACATACAGCCAAGTTGGACAAAGGAGAAGGACAAGAGGGATGAAGACTATGAGCCTTCAGCACGAGAGACCCTCAGAGACCCCCAGAGGGACCACTGGAGACTGATATGCATGCTCCAGTAGGAGGGTTTGGATTCCAGAAAGTAATTATAATAACCCTGGTTTTTTTAGAAGTAGTAATGAATATGTATCAGCCTAGGAGCATAAAAATCAGCGGCTTGATGTAACTGGTGTGTGTCTTGGTGGAGCAGAGACTCCCGGCACACCCAGTGCTGTTTGCTTACCTCTGTTCCTTTAATGAATTGTTAACTTTGATTATAGTCCTATTTTGAAGACTGAGCCATTTATTACAATGACTTAACAGTTTCCGTTTTCCATTCCTTTTCTTGATTACAAACAAGTCTCCATTTTCCATTCCTTTTGAACAATATGTCTCGCTTTAAGTTGTCTTCATCCACAAGAAAGGATTTAACACTACAACTAGAACAAGAATAAAATTGGAAAACAGCAATAACTATAGTTCTTTTTATGAGTCCCAGCCAAGCATTGAAAAGTACTTCTGTGTAATTTCTGATTTTTAGTAGCACCACCACATCACACTCACTGTCTCTTTATGGTTGGTATGTTTCTAGTCAGAAGGCCAAAACTTTGACTATGTTTTGAAGGTTTTTTTTTTTTCCTTCTCCGTCTCCTTTTTCTGGTAATTTTATGTACTGTAAGTGTTACATGGATGAAGGCAGGATATGGAGTCTGGAGTGATGATCTCAGTTTTGGCACTGGGGTTGGTTTTGTGTTGTTTTGTTCTGTGAGTCATTGTAGCTAAATTCATTTATAGAATATGAGAATATGGATTATTATCTCCTACATAGTTTTTACAGCCTAAGAATTTTTAGGATTTCAAGCCAAGTTTTTCACTTAAGGTGAAAAACAAAAAGAAACTGTGTGGAAATATTTTTAAGTGCGAGACTCCATTGTTGTTTATTTTAAATGGGGGTTTAGAATTTTTCAGTTTTGTTTAATGCAAATCCTTGTCTTTCTCCTGTGTAACAACTGGTGCAGAAAAATAAAAATCAAGGCTTCTTCTGAACATAAAAGTGTTCAAAACAAAACAAAAACAGAACAAAAAAAACAAAAACAAACAAACAAAAAAAACCACACACACACACACACAAAAAAAAAAAAAAAAAAAAAAAAACAGAACAAAACTTTACAGGCCATGATACAGCACAATGTGCCTGCTCTAAAATAAAAACAAAAAATGTCTTGGCACTCCCCATTGCTTTTATTTCTAGTTTTTCTGTTTCTTCTATACAGAGCAGAACGTCAGACTTCCTGTCATCTGTTTTCCAATAAATGAAGGCTTGGAAGTTTGTTTTATTCCATTAAATCTACTCATTAAGATATACAGAATTTGCACTCCACAGAGACATCTGTTCAGCTATTGAGTGAATTATTTATAACCCATTTAAAGGCAGTATTGCTGTAAAATATTTAAATGTAGTTTAGCCTCTGTATCAAAGTCAATATAAAACAGACTGGGTTTTCCAAAGGGAATTCCATAATACACAGATTTCCTTTCTATTCTAAAATTATTCCTTAAAGGTAATTTTTAGCAGGATAATGTCTGTCTCCGAATTTTTTTTTTTTTTTTTTTTCAGAATTAAATGCATGTGCATTTTATTAGGGGAAAAAACCTACAGCTGTATTGATAAAAAAAAAAGCAAACACAAATCCCAATCAAACCAGAAATGTTTAGTGCCAATGAAGCATTTCATAACTCTGGACAAACAAGTTTCACAAAGAATGATAAATTCTTTAGGTTTACTCTAAATTGCACATCTCCCATAGCAAATCATAGTTCATATTTTCAAGGGAGATCTTTGTTTTAAAGATTACTTAACTTTTATGAGGATTATTTGGAACAACTGTATATGTTATTGAGCTCATGAAAGAAAAATGTCCTGCATCATAATCACACCTAACATTTTATATGGAAAAACATGTTCCTACTCTTACCACTTTATCCACTTAGCTCATCAAATTGCTTATGCAAATAATGACAACAAATTATTAGTACAGACACTTTCTAGAAATGTTCATTTTTTTAAAGGTAGCTATGAATATTTGTAGGCTGAAAACCAAGAGTCCTAAGTAACTGAGCAAGCAGCAAAATTACATCCAATTTATTTCAAACATTTGGAAAGTTTACTGTTCCTTTCCTTGGTGAGTTTAGAAACTCCACTAAGATGACAAGGCTCTAGGTTTATTTCATTTGTAGGTGATTTTTCTAAATGCATCATATGTGTACACACAGTCACAAAGAATTTCCTCTGTGCTTTTTACTGGTATACTGAAAAAAAAAAAAAGCCCAAAGACTTAAGTAAGCAATCCTTTCTCATTAAAAACAAATAATTCAGTTCTAACAAACACTTCCAACAGCTGTACCATTGGCATAGGCAAGAACGCAGCAAAGCAACAGAAGACCATCAATTTTCAAGTTTATATAACCCACCACTGCCAGCATTATACAAAACATCACAGTATGGATTTATTTGCATTGCTGGCACTGAACAAAAACAATATAGTTCTAAGGTGATGACAGCAACTTACAATAAAATAAATATTTTTTTTTCCATCTGATTAAAAACAGCCTTATTTTTCAAATGATTACAACCCTAAATTTTGACAATGTTTATATTATTCTTACTATTAAACCAAATTCAGTCTTTGGCATATTGCAGTAGGAATCTGTTTACTTCTAAAACAGAATTCATTCTTCCAATGACTTTCCCATTATATTTGGACCCAAACAGCACAATCTCAGTTTATTACCAGGGAGACTTTTTTCCTTCATTTACTGCTACATCAAAAGGAGGCTATCTTAAGGTTCAGTATCAACATTTGCTGCACAGCTTCCTGTATCAGAAGGACACAAATAGGTAAGCAGAGAGGTAAGGATAGAAAGTGAGGACGAAAGAGAGGAAGAGCAAGGAGAGTACATGATTAACATACTCTCACATGCATGGCTGACTTAAAGAGCAAAAGGAAGGCGAGCAGGATTGTAGCAATGACCACACATTTTGATATTCCCTTTCCTGCCTACTGCTGGAAACACTTCTGCATCTCTGCTCTGCTCACTGCACAGCCAAGCTTCATAGTCTTTCCTTTGGAGAAAGGCAATTTGTATTACTTCCCATTTTGCAGAGAAACTGAGAGATGAGAAAAGGTTACTGTGGGCAGACTCCAACAGACATCTGGCCCCTCGCTTCTGAGCCTTTCCCCAGTGCTCAGTGTGCACATTTTAAGCTAAATTGGACAGTTGTATGCAAATTATTAGCAAATGTACAAAATAACTGAGTCGATAATTTGCATAAATGTTATCCAGAGGTGCACAAGGCTTGGCTGCGGCGTCACTGATGATAAAAATGTAAGGAAGAAGGAATAATGAAATACTGCCAAGTTCATTGTGAATGGCATATCATTTTGGCATAACCAGAGGGGCTCTGGATGCAGGGAGGGGAGGTTGTGTGGGGACCACCAACTCCTCTTTGCCAGGCAGAAGCTAAATGGAAAGTGAGAGCTGAGCAAAAAGAACTTCTGGGTTGAGCTCAGTTTTAATTATAGATGGAACAAAATCATCGTGTGAACAAATTCAGTTCCAGTACATAACACATACAGTCCCTCCTTCCCAATTTTCCACTGTCAACATACCTGACAGCTGTTTGATGTTTTCCAGCGTTTATCACAGTTCAAATCCTCTGTGCTTGGAGAAACATGGTGAGAAACTGCCAGAAGCTATCATCCTGCACTGTTAACCAGCCAGATGAACTTCAGACTTGCATCATTTGCAGTGATAATGTCCCAAACTATTTCCACTTGAAGCACCTGTGACAAGCAAAGATGCAAGAAGTTACTGTTTGGGAATGAATTTAGTTCAAGAATGATTTTCATCCAACCAAACTCAGTTATATTAACATACTTGCATTATTAAGGCTTACTGTGTACTTTCTTTTGTTTGGTAGCTCTCATTCCAGATATTTACGGGGTGAATGTGCCCTGCTGCAATGAGTGCCCCTTATAAAAGCCTGGAATAACAAAGCCATGAACATGAGAAGAAAAATCATGCCTTTCTGAAGGACTTTACTGATGAAAATAGTCCTTCACAGAACCAATGAGATCGCTCTACCCTGAGAAGGAAGGTCTTATAGCAGTGGGTCCACAGCACACGAAGTTTGAAGCCCACTGCAACAAGATAGAACACATTTCAGTGCCTTGCTGCTGCAAGCTCCTCCATTGCTTAAAATTCCCAGCCAGTGGGAATTGTACAAAACCTTACTGAAGACATTATTTGACCCTTGGCTGACTGGTGCTTGTTAAGTCTTTAGGAGTGTGTTTTACTTGTGTGTTTTACTTGAGAGGAGCAGAGCCGTGCATTCTCGGAGCACTAAAGTTACAAAAGCAAGATTTATTCCCCAAAATGAAAATGCTAAGCTAAAACTCTACATTCTTGGTTCCAGCAAAACCCTGCAATAGGGTTTTGTAACACAGATAAACTCATTATTGCATAGGTCAACAGACTTTGCTGGAGATTACGCTACCTATGCCAATATTAGGTAATGTCCAATGAAAATTTTATCTGAGGATTCTGTTGGACAAAAACTCATTATATTTGCATTTTTTTAAAGAAGTAAATCTCACAAAATAAAACTGTTTGGACTTGCTGAACTAGAGGGCTTTGACTTCACTGTTCCATGGAAGGAATAAGTAAGGTTATTAATTTGGTTATAAATTTCATGTTTCCTGGCATATGAACATTTAACTATAAAACTTTTTTTAGCATTAACAGAGGTGGTCTCTGCATGCATGTTTATTCTCTGAGTACTCACAATGTGTTTAGTGGCATATGAGCAAAGAGAAGTAACAGCTCTGCCCCAGGGATCTTACAAAATGGTTTAATGCCAAGCAGAGCAATGAAAAGAACACACTTGTACATTAGTTGCACAAGTATGTCCTCTGCATATGAGACATCTTACAATGGCAGCTAGAGAAAACATGAGACAGATCAAAGCAGGCCTCACCTCGAGTACTGAGTACTGTGTACTCGAGGTGAGGCCTCACCTCGAGTACTGTGTGCAGTTCTGGGCACCACAGTATAAAAAGGACATGAAACTGTTGGAGAGTGTCCAGAGGAGGGCTACGAAGATGGTGAAAGGCCTGGAGGGGAAGACGTATGAGGAACGGCTGAGGGCACTGGGCCTGTTCAGCCTGGAGAAGAGGAGGCTGAGGGGAGACCTCATCGCAGTCTACAACTTCCTCGTAAGGGGGTGTCGAGAGGCAGGAGACCTTTTCTCCATTAACACCAGCGACAGGACCCGCGGGAACGGGGTTAAGCTGAGGCAGGGGAAATTTAGGCTTGACATCAGGAGGGGGTTCTTCACAGAGAGGGTGGTTGCACACTGGAACAGGCTCCCCAGGGAAGTGGTCACTGCACCGAGCCTGTCTGAATTTAAGAAGAGATTGGACTGTGCACTTAGTCACATGGTCTGAACTTTTGAGTAGACCTGTGTGGTGTCAAGAGTTGGACTTGATGATCCTTAAGGGTCCCTTCCAACTCAGGATATTCTATGATTCTATGATTCTATTAAAGCAGCACACCAAATTAAACTAGTAAGGTAGAAAGGCAAGCAGAAAATGGAGGGAGATGTCAGGATCCATTACAGTGAAAGGAAACTAGGTAGAACACACAAAGTCCTTTTCTTGTGCAAGAGGAAGCTTTTTCTGTTGCAGAAAACCTACATGTTCTGCATTTACAGAGAACATTGAGAAGCTGAAGTCATTTTAAATATCCAGCACGAAAAGATAGTATACTTACAGAACACATTTTATGATATATATGTAATAAATATGCTTCTGATCAATCAAAACAGATCTAATAGCCAACACTATTTTTTAGCAACAGTATTATACTGATGCAAAATATAATAAACACATTGTATTTAGTAAGGTTAAACTGCAGCCAGAAGTCATATCAATTTGTAAATTAAGTTCAACGTAGAAAACTGTAGCGTGCACAGTAATGGCCAAAGCCAACTGCGTAGGGTTTAATTGCATAAAATTCTTAACGCATAAGGCTTGTGCAGTAGAAGACACTAGTGAGACTGGAAACACAAGAAAAAGTAAAAGAAAGAGTTAAAACAATATTCATGTTAGACAGAATTATTCATTTCTAGTTCAGAAAGTAACAAGCTATGTTCCTGAACAAGTCAATTGATTAAGTAAAATGATTAAGTCAATTTAAGGGCAGAGTAATTAGGACTAAGCAGCTATATGTGACAGAGGGGAATCTCAGCAGCAGAAAAAATTAAAGAACTCAAGAGGCTGGTTTACTGTCAGAAACAGACTTGTCACCAGTTAACATTCGTCTCTGTAGGGAATGTTGTAATAATAACAAATTATGATTAAAAGCAAAGTAAAGATGGCTGATAGAGCCCTGGAGAGACAGCAAGACAAAAACCACTGTACGTGAAGGCTAACAGCCTGTATACAGAGATCACCTTCTTCAACCACACAGTGCTACTGTCTTTTGTACTCTAAAAACTCAACTGTATTATATACTGAAGTCCACTGACAGTTCATAAATGCATATTATTCTTTCTCCAACAAATACATTAGAAAGATATCTATAATTCATATGGAAATTGATGTGCCAGGGTGTTAAGCAGCAGCACTCTCATAAGATTAACAAGATTAGGAGGTTACTTATGTGAAAAACAAACAAACAAACAAAAAAAACACAAACATTTATAGATAGAAGATCAAAGATGAATGTCACAGAGGTATCAGAGAAACAATCCAAGGAAATCATTTCTTGCAGAGAAAAATCACACAAGTGGGCAGCTGCATTATGGGAATGTTCAGGCTATGATGAAAGTAATACTCCATCACAGCCTAGATATTCAAACACAATAAAAACAAAATAGTTGTTTTAAATTCTTATTTTAGACACATCTCTTGTTTCCTAATCTCACCTTCAAGTTAAAATTGAAGGAGCAGTTTGTGAAGTGCATATTCTGTGTTTTAGAAACCATCTTTTTGTAAAAGTATCTGGCTTAGGCTCCTAACAGAGAAACTTAACTCCACTTCTAACCTTCTTGATTCAGGAATATGTCAAAGATTTTATTAAGCAAAGCATCAGCTCAAAAATACTTGCATGTTTAAGATACCTAAAGAATGCTATATTAAAATCTTAGAGTGCTAATAGGTAGCGTCAAAGCCTATGCCTTGCAGTATGAGAAGCCCTGGAAAATCAGACCTTCAGCAGACAAGGAAGCTTGCTGCTGCAAGCTCCTCCATTGCGTCTAAATCAGAAAGCTTCTAAAACAGAAAAGTAGAGTTTCTTTTCATACAAAAGAGAAATTCAGCATGGGCTTGAAATTCTTGATGTACTGACTGACTTGATTTGCTTTAATCTCCTAAACAATTGACTAATGTAATATGCTTATTTATCTTCCTAAACAAGATGGAGCAGATGTGGAGCATCAAACATTTTGAAGAAATAGAGTGGCATTTAAATTGGATAACACAAAACAAAATAAATCACCCAAACCCTAGGGCATTCAATGGATTTATCTTCCAGATGCTGGCAATTTATCCTGATTAAATCTCATTGTTTTCCATTTCACTTTCCTGGAGGAAAGAAAAAACTAGGAATTGGTTGCTATATGGCCACACGGTGTTTCACTAGCTCAGAAATAAAATGCAACAGAGACATACATGAGATGAGCACCTTTTTCAAAAGTTAGTCTGATCCAGTCATATATTGTGAATATTCTTCATTTTCTTCTCAGATAACAGTAACTGCTTACAGATAGACTGAACTTTCCATTTGGAAAGCAGAGACTTTATAGGATTTAATATCATCACTCTTTGTCTATTCTGTAGACTTCCCTTATTCAAACATTTTTGCCCCATGTTAGGTAAGGGCCCAACCAGAACTGAGCCAGTAAGCAATGCTGTTCACGCCTCTGTGAGAGCATATTTAAGACAGAGAGGAAAAAAATATGCTGGGCCACACAGCAGCTGGGAGAGTGAGTGGAGTGAGAAACAGCCTTGCAGGCACCAAGGTTAGTGAAGATGGAGGGGGAGAGGTGCTCCAGGTCCCGGAGCAGAAGTCCCCTGCAGCCTGTGGTGAGGACCATGATGAAGCAGGCTGTCCCCCTGCAACCCATGGAGTACCACAGTGGAGCAGGGTTCCATGCTGCAGCCCGTGGAGGAGACCATGGTGGAGCAGGTGGATGTGGCCTGGAGGAGGCTGTGGCCTGTGGAGGACCCCCACAGGAGCAGACCCCATGCCAGAGCTGCAGCCTGTAGAGAGGAGCCCACACAGGAGCAAGTGACCTGGCAGGAGGTGCTGCCTGTGGGGGACCCAGGTTGGAGCAGTTTGCTCCTGAGGAATGGACCCTGTGGTATGGACTCATATCTGGAGCAGTTTAAAAAAGAACCACAGCAGTCCCCCACAGCACAGGGGACAAGAGTGATTGAGAAGAAGTGGTGGAGACAAAGTGCCATAGACTGACCACAACCCTCATTCCACTGTTCCCCTGCATTGCTCAGGAGGATGAGGTGGAAGAGGGCGGATGGAGGGAAGGCGTTTTTTTTTTTTTTTTTCCTTTCTTTCTCATTTCTTCAACTTGTTAGTAATAGGCAATAAATCTTACTATCTCCCTTGAGATTGTTTTGCCTGTCACAGTAATTGCTGAGTGATCTCTCTGTTCTTATCTCAACCCTTGAGCCCTTTTCATCATATTTTCTCCCTGTTCCTCTTTGAGGAGAGGGAGTGAGAGAGCGGTTGTGGTGGAGCTTGGCCACCCACCTGATTAAAACTACCACACACAGCTATCGTCATTCTCCAAGCAGTTAGTTACAAACATGCTTTAGGGGAGCACTTCCAGTTCTTTCCAACACTGCTTAAGGAACACTGTGATCTGGAGCCCTACAGATCATTTAATTACACTCTTAGCAATATCAGCACTTATTCTAGAACTACCTTTGAAAGTTAATAGAAGTATTACAAACATTACAATTACGGTGATGTGCTGCTGTGCCCTTTGTGATATATATGAAGTCTGAGAAAAACACTCAACAGAGACAAATGAGCTGAATTTTGGACTCCTGTGGACTTCCTTGGTAATTTGAGTAAATGACAAAAACATCCATCTTAATGTCCTCCCTCTGAGCAACACAAACCCAGGTTCAACGCTGGAAATGAAAATTCAAAGTGTCTCCTGGGCTCATATGCTGGGCAGCTGTGGTGATTTGATGGGTGATTTCTCTCAAATGCAAGCACTTTTTTTGCTGTGTAGTTTCTGCTTTATTGTGGAATGCACTGCACTAATATGTTACAACACTTTAAATTGGTTGCTGTATTATTTGGGATTTTTTTATGTTACTTATCCTGTAATGAAAGAACCTCTGATCTTTATAAGGTATACCGCACCTAAATAATTTTATGGATGACATTGGTGCTGACTGATTTCCTAACCATATAAAATCTCACTGGAAATAGTGACTGCTAGTTTATGTTCTTGGAGTGCCATCTAACTGACCTACGTAGACTGCTTACAGTTTTCTGATATATTAATAAAACCTCTTGGCAAGGTAGTGGTAATTTATGTCTTTACAACTAACAATATATGCTAAACACAGAGACAATGAGCAAATGCCAAACAAAACTTTGTTAAAGTCACAGTTATGTTTTGGGAAGAAAAATGAATGTGTAGAAAACTATGCTGGCTGCTTATTCTTATTTAACAGCCAAAAAATCATGTAGTGTCACACAGAGTGCAACAAATAAAATTAAAATGCAAATCAGGTACAATTAAACAATTCCCAAGTTTTGCATGTAATATCAAACTACATGCAGATGTATACAGGGTTTCTGCCTCTCCCAACTTCTTTCTGTGTGCCAAGCCATCCTGAGATTGCATGGGGACCAGGACCACAAGAGCTGGTCTCCCTTTTGAAAGCTTTTGAGCCTTCTGTCTCCTGAGAAACACTTATAATTTCAGCTGCTGGACAGCATGCAGGTTCCAAAAGTGCTCTGCAGAGTGTTGAAGAAGGGGCTTGTGCATTCCTATGTGTTTGACCAAGTATTAGCAGAGGAGCTTGTGTTGCCAGGACTTTGTCTTATTAGGTGATTCACTGCACACGTGCCAGACGATGCAGGATCTGTTACTAGGGTCCATGCATAGCAGCATCTCAGGTCACTCTTCTTTTCACCTCTTGTTGCATTGCAACCTGTCTTACATCTTCTCCTCTTGTTTCTCTTGTGTTTGCATCGTTAGAAAGCACCTTGTAATCTATACTCTTCTTTAGGATTTTCAGAACAATGGAATCATGCATCCCTGCTCTATTTCCTTTCTTGGTGACAGAGATATGCTTTCTTGGTGACAGAGATGTGCTTAAGCCCCAAAATGGCCCCACAGACACCCTTCAGACCCTCAAGTGCCTGCGAAAACATTCTGCTCATCACCTTTCTTCACTAAAGAAAGGAAAAGCAAGCAACAATTTTCTCTCATTTCACTTCTGCATTACAAGTCCACAGCTGGCACACTATCATTTTTATATTCTTCCTTTTTTTTTTGTGAACTCAGCTGCCTTGGAACCGCAGGTGCCAGCCCAATAAGACAAACAGTGGAGCATATCAGAGCAAGATCATTGCCAAAAGAGTTATTTTATTAAAACTTTCAAGAAAGTCTAAAGTAAATATGACATTTCTTCTCCCTGAAAAAGTGGTGGAAGGATAAGATTTACAAACAGAGCTTCCATTGCTGACCTCAGTTCCATACTCTGCTTCAGCGTGGACAACCCACTAAGGGCACAGCTGGGGGCATTAAAGAAGACAGACAGAAATTAACAAGGAGTTGTGGAGGAAAGATGCTGTAGGAAAGGAGAAAAGCAAAATGCTGTATAAATCCTTGGGCAGCCCAGCACACCTCAAAGAATTCTGAAATACCTGTAGAATTGATCAGTCATCTGTCAGCACAAGAGCATCTCACCTTTGGACATAATTACCTGTCAAAGCAATAACAATATGGTGCAGATCACGTACAGTGTTGAAACTCCCACTCCTCTGTTCCCACTGATTATAGGTGTCTGAGAACCTACATGTGAAACAGTTCTGGAAGGTTCCTCCTAGGATGCATGGTGGGACAGCATGCTGATGAGCCACCTCCATTTTCCTGATGAAAATTTCACTACTCAGGGCCTCCTGTGCTCTGTCCTCTCTCTGTGTTATAAAAGAGCAGAATAATGGGGGACGATCGGTGAGTTCAGCTCTTGGGACACTGGCACATTGTCAGACTCCACATGACAGAAATACAGAAGCAGGAACTCTGCTACTTGTGGTCAGTATCCTTTGTCTCCCAGCACAGTTGTTTCAGTCAATTGTTTTCTGGGTACTACCAGGAATGTGACTTGCCCTCTTTCCGAGGAGCTGCACATTGGCAGCACATTCCTGGTACAGCAGACCATGTGATGGCTGGCAATATGGAGACCCAAAGTGCTACACTGGCAGTCTGATGGTACCATCCATCTCCCACAGACTAGAGGGAAAAGGAGTAGTTTGGAAAAAAAAAAAAAAAAAAAGGCTGTTAGGATAATATCTCTAAAGAAATACATGTTTTCATGCCCAGTTGCTTCCAGATGTGCTATAACCACACTATGAGGAGTTTAGGTGGAAAGGGTAAGGACAGCTCAATTGACTGCATACTTGAAACCTGAACAGCACTTGCAAGCTCCAAGCATATTCAGCCAGAAAAGAAGGATAAGTGTTTTCAGTGTACGTGGGCATGAGCAACCATATAAAACCCATAAATGCATATAGGATTCAGTTTCAGCTACTGAACAAAAGTGTCTGTCCCAGCACTTATAAATACAAACCATTTCTCTGTGCTTTACATCTCATATAAAAGAGTTTCTGATCTAATTACATAAGAGCTAAGAAATATTTGTTATTAAGGTAGGGTATATATGCTCTGTTTTACAATCAAAACAGGTGAATTAATGGTTATAAGGCATGAGTCAGCAAAAATTTAACAGCTTGTATCTATTACGGTTATAGTAGTCTCAGAGTATCCAAAACTGTTCAGATTTGTATCTACAAGGAGCCATTCTTTAGGTACTATCATCAAAAAAATACAGCATTTGTTATTCAAGTTTTACTGTTATAATTATAGGACAAACAGAAAGGAAGGATTGTGTACCGGTTAGGGTGTCTTCCCTTAGCTTGACTAATTTTTTGTCTTTTCAGTTCCAGAATACCATATTTACACCTTAACAACTTAAAGGTCTTCTGAGCATGGAGAGGTCCCTGCTGACTGGAAGCTTGTCATTGTTGTACCCATCTACAGATGGGTACATGGGAAGACCCGGGAAACTATATACCTGTTAAAGTAATCTCAGCTCCTGGAAAAATTACGGAGAAGATTATCCTGGGTGCCACTGAAAGGCAGCTAAAGAATAAAGCTAATATCAGGCATAGTCAGCATGGTTCATCAAGAGAAAGTCCTGCCTTACTAAATTCATCTCCTCTGATGAGGACACCTACTTGGCAGATGAAGCGAAGGCAGTGGATGTAATCCTTCTGGATTTTGCTGTGGCCTTTGATACCATCCTTCACAGTATCCTTCTGGACAAATTGCCCAACTGTGAGATGAACATGTCCCTACTACGCTGGGTGATGAACTAGCTCAGTGACAGGGCTTGAAGGGACATAGTGACTGGGGCTACATCTGGCTAGCAACTAGTTACCAGCAGCAATCCCCAGGGCTCAATTTTGGGGCCAGTCCAGACATTTTTATCAACAAGGCAGGAGTTGAATGCTTCCTCAGCAAGTTCAATGATACTAAACTGGGAGATATGTTGCTGTTGAATCCATGGAGGGACAAGAGGCCTCTAGAGCCTCAGAGGACTCTAGATAGACCAGAGCACTGGGCAATCACTGGCATGAAGTTCACCAAGGGTAAATGCTAGGTGCTACACCTGGGATGGAGCAATACCAGACACAGGCACAGACTGGGAGGTAAGTGGCTGGGGAGCAGCTCCATAGAAAGGGAGCTGGGGGTGCTGGTCAGCAGCAGGCTCAGCATGAGGTAGCAGTGTGCCCTGGCAGCCAAGAGGGCAAACTGCATTTTAGGGTGCGTTAAACACAGCACTAGACTGTCGAAAAGAGGTGGTTCTCCTGCTATGTTTTGCACTGGTGTGGCCTCACCTGGTATGCAGTTCTGGTCTCCACAATATAAAAGGGATGCTAAGGTCCCTGAAAGCATCCAGAAGAGGGCAACAAAGCTGGCACAAGGGCTGGCAGGCATATCCTGTGAGGAGAAGCTGACAAAGTGTCCCCAGGGTTGCCCAGTATGGAGAAAAGGATCCAAGAGGTGACTTTCCTGTTCCCTGCAGCTCTCTGAGGGAGTGCAGAGGGAGGCGCCAGTCTCTGCTCCCTGTCACCAATGACTGGATGCAAGGGAACAACACAAAGCTGTGCCAGGGGAGGGTCAGACTAGGAAAAATTTCTTTACTGTGAGGGTGGTCAGATCATGTCAAAGGCTTCCCAGAGAGGTGGTTGATGCCCCAGGCTTGTCAGTGCTCAAGAGTCATTTGGACAATGCCCTCAGTAATAGGCTTTAACTTCTGGTTAGCCCTGACGTGGTCAGGCAGCTGGACTCAATGATCTTTGAAGGTCCCTTCCAACTGAATCATTGTGTTCTATTCTATTAAAAGGCAACCAATTACAAGTCATTTGCAGAGAAGTCTTGTACCAAGTACAATTAAAAAAGACACTCAGAAAAAACTTGTGTTGAATATTGTGGATAGGTCTGATCATCTGGACCAATGAAAAATTAACTCAAACAGGAAAAGGCAAGAAGTCTCTTAAGGTGAACACAGGCTGGGCAGCTCTCCCACAACCAAACATGTTTTTAGTGCCCCGAACAGAGAAGCCAAAGACAGGAATGTCATCACTGCCTACAGTTCACTACTCAATGCCCTCATGTTAGCATTATGCAGGGAGAAAATGCTTTAAGCTGGTGGATAATGTTGGCACAGAATGAAAATATAAATCGACCGTAAAAAAATCTAGCCAGGAAACCTGGAGAGATCTGTAACAAAAGAAAAGTATGGTTCTGAAACACTGTCCCAGTAGATGCTGAGAAAAACTAAGCTGGGCTGAAAATGTATGATGGATTTTCATTGCAGAGAATGTATTACTGCATGTCATGCCTGTGAGAACAAGTAAATTGGACTCAGCACCAGAAGGTCATTCAATACTAAATTCCCCAAAACAGATAGACAGGAAATACATCTTTTTCAGTTTTTATCTTTATTTATTTGTAAAGTCCTAAGTCAACGCCAAGACCCATCTTAGCCTTCTTAAGTGATTAAGACCAAAACAGTTGTGGTCTGTTTGACTGACCAACTCTTCTGAGACTTTCAAACATATTGATCTTCGACCCTAATCAGAAAGCACAAATCTCCAGGTCAGTTTGTTTCAGTCTTAGCTATGGGCCATTAGTGAACAAACAGCTATTTCAGGATTTCAGAGAGTGGACTTCTTTCTCTGTGCAGCCTCCATAAGTGACAGAATCTGGAAGGGCACTAATTACCCAACCTGTCATTCTCCAGGTGACTCACTTATGCAGGGAGGAACTACAGAAGATTGGCTGCAATTCATTTATGTAGTCTATGTGCGGTGCCAATGGCTCTCCCAAGAAGACTGTCCAGGCTCACGGACAGTTTGGAAAGGGTAGGGAGGCCCTGCTGCTCCTGCCGACGTACAGGCTCTGCTCTGTGACCAGTAGCAGCAAGTTGCCAGCCAGGTCCTGGCATGTGAACTCCATCTGGTATTGCTCATAGTGTAAGTGTATGCTATCAGAGCTGGACACTTCTCAGCTTGTTTAGAGGTTTAAAATTGCACCAGAGGAGCCTATGTTTGCTTTTGCTTTCTGGAAGCTTAAAGAAGTCACCATTTAGTTACTAGTCCTGCCCTAGACCCTTTTTCTTGTCATTAAAAAAAAAACTGTTAGAGAGATTTAGAGAGGCAACCAATATCTAAAAGCATATGGTGGTAAAGCTGAACTAACTAAAATCAATAGCAAAAATTCAGGTGACACTAGCAGAGTAGGATCAGTGGTTCTATTACATAAGGCTTCTCCATATATCACAATTATTTAGCTTGGATTTGACAAGACATATTCCTGTACACTATCAAAATCCCAGCTCAGATGAGCACACATGCTTAACTTTAAACTATAGAGAAGGCCCGTATTTTTTTTTTTCTGAAAGAAATCTGTGACAGCTAAGCTAAAATAACCTCCTTTCTCCCCAGCTTACATGGAAACCTTAGTTTTGGTATATCAGCACTTCCCAGGGTATTCTATTTTTTTGAACGTGCTTTTGAAAGTGCTTTTCAAAAAAAATAAAAAATAGAATACCCTGGGAGGTGCTGATATACCAAAATTTAAATTGTCATTCCTAAACAGTTTTCAGTTTTTATGAAGACCATGTTTTTACAGTATAAATAAGATAACAGTAACTAGTTGTCAGTAAATGTTTTGGTTCACTCACATTCAAAAGCTGGTTAGGTTCAACAAGTTCAAATGCACCACTCTTTGCCTTGCTACATGCCAGAAGGCTTTGCTGCGTGTTATTATTGGCAGCCATGGCTTTTGACGAGCTGGGTATGTGTCCATGTGGTCACACAATCTCCAGCATTGAGACAGGCAACAAGAAGGCATTCTTCACTGCAAAGGGCAATTAGTTGGTAAGGTAAAGAAATGGGCACTACACTTTCTCAGTAAGTTTTCCAGAAGAATTTAAAGGGTAACAGAATGTGTTCATATTAGCAGCTGAATAGGCATAGAGGAAAGCCATCCCCAGCTTACCAATTTTCACAATTTTTACTAGTTTATCAGGCTAAATTATGTTCCAAAATAATTTTGCACTAAGGTTAGGCATGATGGAGTTTTCAGCTTTACTTCAACCTCCTAACAAGAGTATCTTTTTTCCAAGAACAGGTCAGAACCTCTTCTTCCTTAATAAGAATCAAATATAAATTCAGCAGAACCATGGAAGAAAAGCATGACGTGATTAAATGCTTTTTTTACTAAGCACTAAGACAGCACCTCTAGAGTAGCTATGAGCTTAAATAATGAGAATCACAGAAGAAAAGAGCCATATTTGTTCCTCCCATCTTTGAATTGTTCCCAAGTTCTTGTCTTCTGTTTTCTACTCTCCTTTCCCTGAAACTTTCTGTCTGCCCCTTCAGCAGAGTGTACTCTTTATACAGAGACCCAAGGGCCCACTCTTCCATTGCTGGAGGACAAGGATGTCTCAAAGACCTCATGTATGCAAATCCCAACAAGAAGTAAAGATGAGATGTGCTTCAGTTCCATCAAAATGGAGCTGAGGAACACATGGCACTGATTCTGTTCATATATCCCTTATCTTAACCAAGTCTATATTTTTCTATTAACAGTACTTCATCAGACTTGAGTTTTATTTTATAGAATGTTGATTGTAGAGATCCATGAGAAAAGCAATCTTTACATTAGCATCTGTGAAATAATGACTCATGCCCACAGAGTCGTTGCCTTACACTAACAATATGCAAAGCCTAGAGAAGGCTTGTTAATGATCTCTATTGAGGGATTGATAGTCACACAAACGGCTGGCATCTGCTGTTCCAGAAATGAACAAAACAAATTTAATTTCATCACTTGAAAGAAAACAACGTCTACTGAAGTATCAGACAGAGTTTCTCTGTGATTCTCTCTTATTTTGTAGACATTCACATTCATCACAGTGACAAGTTGGGTATGCAAATATGAGGCTGTCAGGAAACTGGACAGTCTTTAAAATGGAGGCACACAAAACAAATGGAGGAAGGACTGCCATAAAAGTGACGTGTTAGGAAAAGCGAAAAAGGGAAGTGCAGGTAAAACTCACGGTATGAATGGTGGATTCATTCCTTGGATTTTCACTGTACACCAGAGGGCTGTTCAGAAAATCATCCAACAGTCAGAAGGTGGCTTTGCTTAGTAAGTGGTGCTTGTTACCCTGCCAATTAATGCATTAAAAATTGTATCTTATCACCTCAGTTGCTCCCTGAAAAGGCATCTGTGAAATCACCAAGCAAGCTCAACGCCCGCAGTGGAGATTCTCATTCTGACAGAAAGCAAAGCACAGCTATGCTAAAAACAACCACCACACACTCACTTTTACTTGCTTCTCTTTGCTGATTATGAAAGGAAACACTGAGGCTGAGATCTTGCAACCTCTGTGTGTTTTGAAAATGTTTTTCTGCTTTAATATAAAGAATACAGCACACAAGGAGGAGAGTGGAAAGTAGTCATTGTTAGCCAGTACACAGATAGCTTAGTGATAGGAACCGTATCTCTCTTGTCCCCTATTCAGATAAACAGATATGTCCTTATGTACACTGGAAGTGTTTGATAACTTCCACAGGTTAATATAAAAATATTTTAAATGACACATGCACTTTTCTGTATCCTACCTTTACACCAAAGGTAATTAAAAGCAGCACATTAGATTAAATGACTTGTACAATTAAACCTCAGCTCCTTGAAAACTGACTTTCTATCCTGAAGCATCCACTCGTATTTCAAAAGGAAATGAAGGACACAAGTAAATTCTAATATACCGCTAGAAACAAACTTGGCTGAAATAAATGAACAAAGTTTTCACTGATGTGAACAAAGCTGAAGTGATGCATGCCAAGGGTATGATCCCTAATCATTATCTTTACTGCTATTTATTTCTAACAACGTCTTCTTTTCCTTGAGATAGGAATTCTTTATGGATTTTTCTCATAAACCTCATCTATGCCACCCCAAGGGCTTTCCAAAAAACAGAACAAAACAAAACAAAAACACCGCACAAGAGTTACATCTATTTTGCCAGCATTATCAGGTATGCTAGAACCATGTTCTAAATTTTAGCTTGATGGTGACTCAGTCTGATATCACACTGACTTCCAAAGCAGACAGACTTTTTTAGTCAAATGGTGACAGATGTGGATCTGAGGCAGGAAAACAGCCTTTAGTATTTAATGTGGTAATGAGAAATTAAATTGCCTGAGGCATGAAATATAATTGTTCATTTACACTGAAAACATATTGATGAAAAAAAAAAATCATTACAGTCATGGATAGGCAGAGCAGTAAAATAATAGACCCAAATCTACTAACCACAGTGCTGAAACTTCAATACCTTCTGTAAGTAGCTTCTGGGGAGAGCACATGCTTTAACAACAGCATTGGTACACGTCTCTTGGTGCCAGAAATGGTGGAAAAGTCAGTGTATACACAGAGCTTTTTGTTATTGAGTTATTCTCAGCTCACATGAAAGAGCTGACTGAGCCCTGCAGTGCTAGACAATGTAAGGCTAGACTATCACTGCGACTAGCGGTGGTAGATGTTATAAACTGCCCCCTTAATTAATTTTCAGAGAGCATTGAATTAATAATAGAAAGGAATTTATTGAGTAAGCAACAGCAAGCAAAACAGCGCTGGGTGGCCAGGGAGTCTTGGCTCCACCAACGGTGCGCACCTCACCCCCACCAGGGTCCCTTTTTATATCTTGGTAATTCCGGGATTACGCAGCACATCCTGGTATATTCTGCGACTGCGCACACTGTTGCTAGGGGGTCGTCTCTGTCCCTCTGATGGTTGTGAAGATGAAGGCCATAGTCTTCCTCAGCATTGTGGTTCAACTTCTTTTTTTATTTGGTCATGTTAGCCCAGCATGAGACAGGAAGGCAGGATGTTGATACACTAGTTTAGCAACTTATCAGGAGATGGTTACATGAGCTTTGCAGCAGTGTCTTTGAACAAAAGAGGCAACTGAGATGCAGAAGGCGAGAAGGGGAGGGCATTCTCTTTTTTGTTACATTAAGCAAAAGAATTTTCATAGTGTCTAGCCAAGCATTATACAGCTCCTTACTTCAGCAGGAAGCTTTTGCAACTCCCGCTCCTCAACCAGAACTCCTTGTTTTTATAATACAAAAGACAATGAACAAACATTTATTGTGTATTACAGTAGATAGTTCACGTGTAGTGATTAGGGAGGAGTTCCTGAAGAAGTCTTAGAAATATACCCTTCAGAAAAGGGACAGCTTACCTAAGTTGGATTTTGCCTGTTTCTTATGTGGCAGTGGATGTGTGTTGTTTTGTTGTTGTTGTTGTTGTTATTAAAAAAAAAAAACAAACTACCACACAGGCACACAGCCTTTAACTTCTCCCTATGTAGCTTATGCACCCCCTTCAACCAAGAGACTTTAAAGATGCCATTTTCCTCCCTTGCTCTTCTGAAATGTCTTCAGGGCCTGTTCGTAGTGCACACTGAAGTCAGCAACATAGTTCTTGCAAGCTCCAATTCCCTGATAGTTGCCAATTTCCAAAGCAGATAAATACCAAAAAATGCAGCACCTTAAACTCAAACGTCTATGTAAAATCACACTACAATTCCAAAGCAATCATGGGAATAACATTGTCATTATTAATTGTATTCAGAGCTTCCACTTCGGAATGAATCATTCTGATCCAATCTTTTACCAGACATTTGCATGTAATTTTTTTTTTTTTTTTTTTTGCAATTTATGTAACAAATGTCACCTAGAAAGAACTGATGGAGTTTGGGGAGTTTAATTGCTTTGAGTTTTTATATTAAGCAGGGTTTATCTGCGATTATGCGTGACATAGAGCTGAACCTATTCATTAGATACAAAGGAAGCTGTTTGTTTGATTGTGGAGCAATAAAGCTTCCACTTTCTTACCAGGGAGTCAACAACATTATCGTTTGTCACTATAATTCTCTTCCTCTCTATACCAGGCAACAATAGATCTTGCTTGCAAAATGATGGGCAGCAGCTTTACACCCCATCAGCGTCACTAGCAGGGAGCTGTAGGTAGTAGCACTGCACTGTTGACTATTTCCTCCCTCCCATTTCTGGAGCCTTCCATAAATAATGAAATGACAATTCTATAATGCTGGCTGGTACAGTAAACAATAAAATAATGATGCCACCATACCTCTCTGTCAGCAAGCCATTGCAGCTGAGGATTCAGAGAGAACACCTTAAGGCTTGAAATTAGGAGCTGTCACTTCCAGGTCAGCAACTGCAAATGGACACGTCAGCAAAAATAAAGAGTATTTAGTAGTTTACAGAGGAATTTGGAACAGTTTATTCCTTCCCCAAACCCAGTCCATTCTATGAAAATGTCTTTCTAAAATAGTTTTCCACGGATTTTTTTTCCCTCTAAAAGGGAAGATGGCAAAAGCAACTGACATTTCTTTCTAAGCTTTTGGGAAAGCAAAGTTACATAGTAGTGTAACACTGGAATGTGAGAGAGGGAGCACTAATGGAGGAGAGCTGATGTCTGAAAGGCAAACACTGAGTAACGAGCAAGAAAGAGAAGGAAAATACCACAAAATTAAAACATAGATTAGTGATATAAAGAAATGGTCTGAAATAGAACTGCATTTCATTAACTGTCTGAATCACTCACTAAAATTAGTAAGTATTTGGGATTTATATAAAACAATATTTTTCTCCATTGGGGAAATCACAAATTCAGTGTGTATCACACAAAACAAACCAGTCTAATAACACTGGCCATTCTCTCCCGAAATCATCCTTCAGTTCAAGAAAAACATACTGAGTAAAACATTGCAAAGAAGAAATGTTTTGATTGAACCTTAAGTAAAATGTTTTGTTCTAGAAGACAAAATAAAACATGGACAAAATCTGGTATAGGTAAGGTTAAATTTCCAAAGTTAAAACTGTAACTAGAAGGCATTGCCTTCTTCATTTTTCCCTTAAGCTATTCTGGGTTAAGCAAAACTCAGAAAATCACTTGAATCTGAAGTGAAAAATTTCAGCACATAATTTATTGAAGATATTCAGACCATTTATGTTCATGACACCTACAACCTCTCCTGATTTAACCCTTGTACCACTATGTTAGTGCTTTATGCATTCTGGCCTCTAATGTGCCTCATTGGGGTTCCACTTATTTCCTAGGGAGATATTTCTCTGTCTGTATACTTGTTTTTATCAAGGAGTTTTCTTATTTCTTTAATCTATACTCTGTGTTTTTTATTAGATGCATTTGACTACTTCCTAATTTATTTATACCCTTGAGTTATATAAAAAATACCATTTTAATGACTGAAAAAAGCTATCACATTCCTTATTTCATATCTGTGTTTTAATCATTTATCTTCAAAGAAAATGTTTGTGGTGTCAGTAACTCTGTAGTGCTTTTTACTCTGTGAAGTTATATCTAGAGAAGATGTGTTATCTTTCTGCTGTATCAGAGTACCTCACAAATGAAGAACCCAAAACAGACTTTTCTTGGCTGTGTGGTATATAGAGAGTTACCAGCTCACCTTTCTTTCATTGTTCACTGTTGTCTCATGATAACCATTGAATGCAATCTTTTTCTCACACAGTGCACTGCTATCATTTTATACCACAACCTACAATCTCAGTGGGGATGCTCCAAGCACACAACAGTTTTGGTACATAATTCCCCATCTCTACAGTGGAAAGACAGGACAGGATGTGCGACGATATTAAAGTGTTAATCAATGACATCAGCTGTAGTCCTTCCTTGTTAAAGCTAGGAATTTCTTCACCTGTAAAGGTGATTTAATAGGCTGCGGCTTGGCTTCAGTAGACAAATACAAATATATAAATATAAATAGACAAATATAAAAAGACAAATATAAAGCAAACCAAAAAAAACCACCACATTTATAAACTCTAAAATCAGCAGTTACCCTTTGCGCAGAGGATATGTCTGATGAATTCTTCACTCCATCAATAAAATAAATGATGTCAAAAGGAGATGCATGTGAGCTTGCAGTCACTCTCACATCTTTAAAGATGTTAGTGGTGAAGAACACAGTCTTACATATTCACATCCAGCTGGCTAACTTCGATTACAGGTAGCCATTTAAGTGACTTCATGGCTCCTGTCCATCACATCAATAGTTCTGCTGCTATACAGATCTTCCATTCCATTCCTTCTCCTCCAGAGATTAATATGCTGATGGGGTGGCAAAGGCAAATTAAGCTACTTTAAAATATAATTAGAATTTTTAGGTGGCTTTGTTCATTTGACAGAATGAGCACCTCTCTTCTGCACTGCTTTCATTTTATGTACAGTTCTGACAAGGGCTATAAAATTACTTAACATTTTGTGATATGTGCATCATTGTTGACATAACACAATGTAACTAGAGAAGCAATCCGTCTGCAGCACACACCTACCTTTGAGAGTAGTTTGGGAGAGCTTCTCTGTCCTCACATCACCTTCTGCATGCCGTCATGAGAGCAATAACAGAGAAACAAGGAATAGAATGGCTCTCTCAGCTAAAATTATTCAGGTTCTACATCAGATGGAGAGTTTTGCTTTCAACTTCAAAGAAGGGGCAAAGATGAAACATGAGTCTTTCGTAAGCATTCAGTGACGTAAAAGAAAATGTATTTAAATAGGTACATTTTGAGATGACAGACCCACAATTTCAAGGGCAGACTTTTCATGTGCTTCATTATCAGTGTACCTCTGTAGGAAACTACCCTTTCAATCAATCACTTTTTTTTTTTTAGACATCTGTGAATGACAAAGTTTACATCAATACAATTCAAATGCAGTTCTATTAGAGTATGCAAAGTACCAGGCAGGCTATGCATTTCCAATTAATGCTGATTTTTGCTAGAGGATGAGCACTGAAGTCCAATATCTGCCTTATAAAGTCTCATTCCTACCATACAAACTTGTATCTTTGTGGCTTAGAAAAAGAATAGGAGAAAAGATGTTTTGAAAGTAGGATGCACTGTCAGAGAGACCCTTATTTTTCATTGTAAACAAGAGTCTGCAGGGATAGTTAAGGATTTATGAACTTGTTTCCATCTAAGTAAAAAAAAAACTAACAAACATATTGCCTAAGTAGTTGTCTCTGTCTCCTAGTTTTGCTTTGGAGGTTTTGAATGTGACTTTGCCTTTAGTGTAAGACAATGAAAAGAGATAAAAATACATACTTTCAGAAATTTCCTATAACCTACATCAAAAGCAGTTGCAAGAAAAGCAACTTCATTTCTTATTTATAAAAGGTAGCTACATGTAAGAGGAAGGAAAAGAGAAAATGAAAGGGAAAAAGACAACAGAGAGGCATCTTCCTCTCAGAGCAAGCTGCCAGAGATGGATATCATGGCAAGAATGATGCTTATCAGTTTTTCCTGAATCAGCCACTTTTCAACCTTATATATCACCTGCAGATAAATTACACAGAAGAAAACAGGAGCTGTTTATTTCTTTAATATAATATAACACTGTTATTGGGATGAAAACTTTTCAGTTAAGTTTCTTTTCCAACAAAATAGTTGTTTATTTTGAATGGAAATTCCACTTGTATCTAAATAGTGCAAACTTAGATTTTCAGCATTTCTAAATGGAAAACTGAGGCTGTGCAAAACCATTATGCAACCCAAATTCCCGGTACTTGGATGTTGTGAAATTATTTTTATTGGTTCAGACAAATTTATTTCCAGTGATGACTTCTATAGAAATGGCGACACCAATATAAGCTGGTAATATGGACATTTATTCAAGCATAAAGGTATGCTGGCTTTGACATTTGCTAGAATTTGCAAAATTTGCTAGAATTTGCAAAATTTCCTCACTAGAAATAATGATAATTCCTGTACTGAATAGTAGTGTAACAGCTGCCCACATACAAAAGGAAGATGATGAAGAAAGGTCTACTTGTACAAGTCTTTAAGTGAATTAAAAAAAAATAAATCCATACAAATATTTCAAGAATGTATTCACAAACCTTCTAAATGCTTAACTGCTGGTAAGACATGCTTCAAGGACTTTTGGGCTGCTTTTATGTTTAGGATTAAAATAAGGAGTGGCCAACCTGGCTAATGCTACAAGCTTCATGTCAAAATCACTGTGCCACTACAAGCCACAAGACATCAGACACAAACATGGCCACGAAACCAAGAGAAAGGAACAACTCTGAAAGGGTTCACTTTCTAGCTGATGCTACATCCTCAACAGTCTCACCTCCCCAGTGTGGGATAACTCCTCAGGAGCAATGAAGTTGGGCAGCAGCTCTGCATCCACACATCTCTGAGACACAGTGCCAGTCAGTGAGGTGCACATGAGCCACAAAAGGCGCATGAGCCACAGGCTAGTCAGCCCTCCTTTAAATAGAAGGACAGACTTCACAAGACCAAGACGACCATCAAAATGCCAGAGGAGCTGTGAATAGACAAAAAACAGAGAAAAAGGTGAGGGGGGCAATAGTTTCATTGTCAATATGAAACTATTCCTGTAATTGTGCAAAAGATTGGATTTGCATTAAAAATAAAAACATGCTTTTTCCTTGTAATTATTACTGAACTTTTTCAGGTCATACAGGCTGGAGACAGAAAATGAGTTCTCATGGATGAAAAAGGGTAAATACCATGACTGGCTGAGGGAAAAGAAATCAGTGGGAAATATTAGGCAGGAAAATAATTGTTTGAAGAGAGAACTGGGAACCAGAAACAGGATGGCATACAGCTGAAAGAAAAAAAAAAGTGGACATTATGTTTTATCATTTTGTGGGCCTTGTTTTTTTGTTATTTAATTATTCATTTATTATTTGCAGCCTGACAATTCAGGTGATATTACCTCAGCTGTTTGGCTTCAGTATTAGCTAACACATTTGCCATGAGTTTTTCTTGCAGTGGCTTGAACAATTCTATTTTGAGATCACAATGCCCCATGCAGTACCTGAGCAGTCTTCAATAATTTGCCTTCTTCTGCAACCCAGCCATCTCTCTTTCTTCTTTGAAGCAAATATGCTCCAACCCTCCTTGTGCTGAATGTTGGCCTCCTCATGTGCTTCATGAGCTACGAATTGCATTTCTTCTAATCTGTTGAGCTCCTCCTAATCCTAACTGTGAATCAAAAGATGTTTGCCAGCAATATGATACATTCTTTTGAACTGGCTTTACCAAATGCAAAATTCTACTGTCTGTGGGTCCAAATATGCTAAACTTCCTTTCATGAGTCAGAGCTATGACTAAATTAGATGAGCAGAACTGAAGAGGTTAGGCTTGAGGCAAAGCATTTACAACCCCAAATCTTTGGAGAGAAGGATAAAAGGGAAAAGGGTGAGTGCTGGAGGGAGTCATTTAAAATAAATGCTTTAAATTGGTATGGAAAACAAGAGAAAACACAGAAGCAAAAAGTGTCAGAATAAGTTTTAATATTCTGCAAGGAGTACTAGACAGTAGAAGTTGATTTAGGAAAACGTTGAATTTAATTTGATTTTCTGCCCAGTACATTTCCATATGTCATTTAAGTTAAGTTCTCATATGGCTGATAAATGAACTGATAAATGACACTTGAATTGTCAGGCTGGATCAGATTAGTAGCCCATCTCATTCAGTGTCCTGTCTCCAAGCAAATTTTAAGCATGCTGAAAAGCACAAAAAGGAGAGAGACTTTCAGATTACTCATGCTACAAATAACCTAAGTGGAACAACTGTGTGAGCATTGATATTCTTTCATCAAAAAGAATAGTATGGAGCAGAGCTGCCCAACCTTAAATCCACTGATAAATATACACAAGCTCATGGCAGGGAATTCATTACATTCAGCCTGGGACCCAGGCACTAATTCCCTCAATTCTTCATTTTCCCATGGTCAATAAGTACTGCTGCCAAGCACCCAACACGAATTTTTGTTTATTCATGGAAGCTACCCTTTTTGCCCTGACTTGTAAATATTCTTTACAGGAGTGAACAATAAGTGAAGCATGTTCATTCTGAGAGGATCTCCAGATCTCTGCTTCCTTACAATGAAAAAATGCCCTACTGCCCTCAGACCAGAAATCTGCCCCCAGCAGTGCTGGAGCCATTTTGCAAAAGGCAATTAATTACACCCTCTAATCAACACCATCATGTTTCTCTTGTGATTGTAGGACAAAAGGAAAACCTAGTGCTAGCAAGCAAAAGCCATACCTGCTGTCTTTATGTGCCTGTCCTCAAAACATATATATTTCACGGTCCACCACACACTGCCTGGCAATTTGTTCTAACATCAAAAAAAAGGATCAAAGGTGGATCAAAAGGTTACAATTAGCTCAACAGATGGATGCTCTCATGACTGTTTTACAGGTGGAACTCAGCAGCTTCTGCTGACTTCCTCCTATTCAGTGTTAAATCTGCTGGAGAGGTAAGACAGGCTAAGGTAAGTGCTGCTGGGGATTGCGGATCTTCCTGTCAGGAGAATTGTATCATTTAATTCAGGTATCTTCTGGTGCAATTCTAAGAAGGAGATGCTGAAACACTGAAAGCAGAAGCTTCTAATGTAAGGAATTTGGACAAATAAATAAATTTAGGCAATGTGAACGATTCTCCATTGAGAATGTTTTTGCCTAGCCTTCCAACCAGAGCTAAGCAAAAAGTGTCCTTCTCAACTCATGAAAATGAGGTTTACATAAGAGTGTTATTCAACAGCAAGTTGAAACAAGGAACTTCTATCACGAGAAGGAAGGGAAGAAAGCCAGTAGAGCAAACAGTTACAGTTAGGTTGCTAACATACTTGTACATGTCTCATTCCCTTCCAAATGTGTAATTTAGACCAGGGATCCTTCATACCTCAGCTGAGCGCTCTAGACATCTAATTAATTGTTTTGACAGGAGACTGATGCTCTCAGTTTGGCCATAAACAGAAATTTTCCTTGATGTTAATCATAATTGTCTAAGTTTCCTCACTGTTCTGACACACTGTTCTGTTTTGACTTATTACAAATAAGCTTTTAAAATATCATCTCTTCTAAGTATCAAATTAGTGCCAAAAGTTATAAATTAAAGCTTTTCAATAGAGAAAAATAAGCAGAAAAGTGCTTCCTACAAACCCACTTATAGCTATTTTTGAAGAAAGGATCATGTACAAGAAGAGCTTCTTCTCTGACTAGCATAGCTGTTCCAGTGGAATGCTTCAAAAACTGATGAAAACTGTCCAGGGTCCTGCTTGAACAAGTATTTTTGTGACAAGTACATTTGTGACACATATACTTTATGGACAAGTATATTTGTGCAATAAATGCACTAACAAGTTTGTTTTCCTTATTAGTATTTTTTTTATATTTGTTAATATTATAATGTTATTATAATGTTAATATTTGTTATTTAGTAATTGCCATTACTAAATCATTTCCTAGTCCTTTAGACCAGATATAATAACACAGCCTCTCACTTAGGAAGATTGTTATTGGGCACATGCATTCAACATCACACACAGTTAGATGTGCTCAAATATCTTGCTAACTAGTATGCAGTGTCAGAGCCCATGCTATTTGTGAGGAGTTTCCTAACGTTCACATATGAAATTCTCTGAACATGCTTTAAAAACCCCCTAAGTGCTCTCTTTGACAGTTCATTGCCCCAGAAGGCAACATTAAGTTGTATATGCTGGGTCAGTTTTTATCACTGGTATACTCATCTCCAAAGCAGGCTGTCCAAAGAGCATCCTTATTGTTTTCAGCAGGAAAAACAAAAAAGCAAATCAAATGTAGATAGAGCTCACAGCCTGAAGAACAAAGCCTTTACCAGCCTGGAGAGATCTATCTGCCTAAGCCACAGTCACAGTTTTGGGAGTGTCAGAGTCATCTCTGTAAGCTACGAACAGCCCTGTAGCTGAAGATGATATTCTGGAAAATAACGATACAGAAATATCCACTGCTTTTAGTAAGAAAACATGAACACACAGACAGCCATAGTTCATTCCTGTGAAATTGAACAATGATGTGAGAGTCCTTGTCATTTGGAGAAATCAATTTTAGGAAACTTATCACCATTGATCAGGATAGGTGAATCCTGGAACACCCCCAATTCCACAAAATCAACCACAAAATCAACAGCTCGACAGAATTAAGCCTCTCTGAAGGATGCAGACAATTCGTAAAGCTACAATAGATGTTTGCGCAGGCAGGGTGAGCAGGGAGGGTCCCTTGCCACTCTTCCACAGCGGTCTTTCCCACCTGTACTTGTAACCTGCTTGCGAAGCGCCTGGCCATGGTATCAACCAGGCAGAAAACCATGGCCTCCGCATCTCTTGCGGCCTCTCCAGCCACAGTCACCAATGTGGCTACTTAGATGGAGAGCTTGGGGAAACACACTGCCGTCCAGGTCTTGGACTGCAGGATGTGCCCGAGTCTCCTGTCTATATCCGACAGCAGCAGCGAGGGGTATGCCTGTGGGAGGTGTGCCCAGGTTGAAGAGCTGCTCAAACAGGTAGTGGAGCTTCGGGAGGAGGTGAGCAGGCTCAGGAGCATCAGGGAGTCAGAGAGGGAGATTGACTGGTGGAGGTGTACTCTGCCCTCTCTGAGACAGACTCAGGAGCCTGCCGCAGCACAAGTGTCTCCTGCCACGCAGAAGACAAAAGTTCCCCCATCCCACCAGGCAGCAGGAGGAGACCTAGGCCAAGGCGGGGAATAGAGGCAGGTTCCTGTTCAGGGTGGTAGGCGAGCCCTGTTCCTGCCCACCTCACCTTCCCATCTACCCTTATGTAACAGGTACGAGGGTCTAGAACACGACAGTCAGAACAATGAAGTAGACGAAAGCCTGTCCCAGTTGGAGAGGGTGCCTAAGGCAAGGCAACCTACCCCCGCATTGCTACATCGTCTGTCAAGAAAGACAGAAGGGTTATTGTCATGGGGGACTCCCTTTTGAAAGGGACAGAGGGCCCGATATGCCGACTGGACCCAACCAACAGGGAAGTCTGTTGTCTCCCGGGGCTTGGATGAGAGACTTAGCTAAGAAAGTCAAGTGCCTGGTATGGCCCACTGACTACTACCCGCTACTGGTCTTTCAGGCTGGTAATGACGAGGTAGCAACGAGAAGTCCGAGAGCGATCAAAAGGGACTTTAGGGCTTTGGGGCAACTACTTAAAGGATCAGGGGCACAGGTTGTGTTTGCCTCTGTCGTTCCGATAGGGGGATTGATGCTGATAAGTGGGCTCACCACAGTAGGATGTGGCTTCGGGACTGGTGCGACCAACCTTCAGGTTTTTTGATCATGGGAAGGTCCACGTGACGCCAGGCCTGCTGTCACCAGATGAGATGCGCCTCTCTCAGATAGGGGTAAGGATTTTGGCTCAGGAGCTGGCAGGGCTGATAGACAGGGCTTTAAACTAGAGTGGAAGGGGGAAGGGGATAAAACCAGGCATGCCAGTGATGACCTAAGGGATGGTGCGCTAGAATCAGA